TTACGGGATAGGCTATACTAAATTTTCCGTGCATGCTCAAATATAATATTAGAGCCTATTTTTTAATTAAAACTAGTAGCTTTTAGAAAGAGGGATACTAACTAGGATATATTAATTTCTTATGGATAGTAGTAAGAATCTCAAAAGCATTATTATAGTAAACGGTATACCGGGCGGGAACAAGCTCTCTATGTTAATTATCGTAGTGTTCCTTGTAATATACTTGGCCGTCCTAAAGCTTATAGAGAAGGGAATTATACTTGATATTAGCCTAGTAGCGCTTCTCGGCCTTGGTTCTGCTAGGAAGCGGAGCATTAGGATTTTATAGCCATTATCTAATATTTATATGTTTCCTAGTAATAAGAATTTTCTTACTATTTCCCTTAGTAAGCCTCTGATCCCAAGCAGCTTCGTCTTTAGCAGACTAATTATTAGTAGGCTCTTCAGTAATAGGAGAGGGTAAAAACTAGATACTGGAAGAACGAGCGCCTGGAGCAGTAATATTAAAATATTGCTCTGCTCGCCTATAAGTACGCTAATGAGGCGTATGTGGGGATGGGGATAAACGAAGAGTTAAAAGAGACATATTGGAAGTAAGGTAATTAATTAAGAGGTATATAAAATTAGTGGTTATACTTGGAAAGTTAGTGCTTGTACTATGAACTGTGTCTAGGTAGTAAGGGAGCAGAGGCCCTATATATATTTGGGAGCTCTGGAGAAGTATCTTTACTCCTATTATTACCTCCTTTAATATCTTAAATTAATGAATTAAACTATAACCTATAGAATCAAAATGTAAGGTATGGTAAAGTGAAGAATATAGGGCTGAATGAGCTAGTAAATAGGGGGAATTCAGCTTCTTTAGCCCCGATACCGAAATATTATCCGATTGGGAATCGGGGGCCCGATTCGTAAAGAACCTCCCATTTCCTAATCGTAGCGTCCGATTTGGGAATCGGGGGCCCCGATTGGGGAATCGCTCGGATTGGTGAACGGGGGGTCACAGATCTGCCAAGGACAGGATATCGGAAACAGGCACAAAACGAAGCTAAGCCGGAATTGCTTGGGCGGAACAATACTAAAGGTTAAGGCATCCTCCCTACTTTATTCCATAGCTTAGTATTTTCCAATACATGAGATTCTTTGAACTTTGAGCCTTCGACCATTGCATTAATCCTGCCGTTACAGAGCTTAGGTAACTAATTACAAGTTTATTAATATCCCTTATTAATACCCGGGGAAATAGGGAGGTTGTTTTATATTTTTCTATAAAACCTTGAATATACGGCTCTAAGACTTATACTAAATAATTAGCCTAAGTTAAAGCTCTTGACTTGCTAGAACCGTAAAGAAATAGTAAGGAACTCTTATATCTATATCTAATTATACCCCATATATTAACTAGTGAAGTATGGCCCTGGTAAAACTGGTATTAAATATACGTTAGACAAGTCCTCTCCCCTCTCTTTCTTGTCACTCTCTCCTTTACTATCCTTCCACTAATTAAAAATGTGACCTCGTCCGATTATAGAACCTTCCTCTACTCCAAATGCCAGAATATATATATAATCGCCCAGAGAAATCGAGTACGGACTTAATCGGGAGTGAGATAGGGCCTTTAACAAGCGACATATCTGAAATAACCCCGCTACTTGAGCCATTATACTAGGGTTTTTATAGAATAAGTAAGCCCTAACTCGTTATATAATTATACCCAATTTAATATCCTTTGCATATACGTCTCGCTAAGGTACTCAATTATCCAATTAATATATATATTATTGAGTTTATAGGCTAGGCCAGTGCGATCTGGTCAAGCTCGCTCGGGCTAATTATATTACAAAATACAATTAATTATCGATTCGCCCACATGATATAAGATAGAGAGGTATGCAGGCATAAACTTGGCTTGCTTATAAAGCTGACAGATAGCTTCTTTGTGTTTCGTAGGGATCTCTTTACCAGGAACGTGTTCAGGCATAGGAGGAGTGCTTGGACGATCCATTGTGTGTGTGTTTTTGGAAGGTGTGCGTCCGCCTAAATATGCCCTATAATCCACAGACTAGTGGGCACCAGGCTCGTAAAAGATAGCTTTAAATACTAAGAAACTAAAAACTCACTTATTATAAATAAGTTCCAGAATTCTGAGATTAGTATGGGACGAATATTAAGTATTTAATACCTAGTTTCGAGCGCTAGTATTTGAAATTATTCAGATACTTTAATTACTAATATATAAAAGCTGGCCTTAAAAGCTGGACCAAATACTAGCATTTGCGCGTTGCCAAACAGGGCCTAAATAAACAGGGCTAGCAATTAGCTGTCTCGGCTAGCTATACATAACTTCATTTCTCTATATTGAGTAGTAGTGCTATAAGAAGAATGCTCTTCCTTGTGCCTTAGTAAAAAGCAACTTCCTATTCATTTGAGGAGATCATTTATTCGTGACCCTTCTTTTATTTACCAAGGAAGGGAACTAGTGACCTTATTTATTATATATAATCTCAGACCTGCTCGAATAATAGTAATATAAGACCATAGTAGTACTTCGTATAGACACAAGAACAAGAAAGGGCGTAAAATCGATGCCGTATAAGTAAAGATTAGAAATGATTACCTCGACCCATCTCTTACCTTTTAGATTCAACCCATCTTGGTCTATATTAACGATCTTGGATATCTCTATACCCACCACAAAATCGAGTTTGAGAAACCTCACATTTGGAATAAGAATTGGCCGGAAGTTTTAACTTTTTTGCAACGATCAAGGTCTGCACGTCTCACCAACCCCAAGCACTCCACAAGGCCTGATACTTCTCAGAGGTACCAGCTCCTCTTCCAAAATGGGACGGTGACTACTCAGCGCCGGTCAGGCTTAGCACCGTGTTCCCGACGAAGTGGAGAGACTTGGAAAATCGGCTATCAATTGCGGAGATAGGAGCAACGTGGATAAGGTAGTGCAAAATTACCGATGACCCGACAATATTTTCGTCTCTGTAGTATTAATTAATTGGGAGTTCAAAAGAATAGTATTTCTCCAACATTAGTGTGCATGCTTTTTAAAGGGGATAATTCAGCGTCCTTAAAATATCGACGAAAAAAATTTCCCCACGTTGTCGAAATGCTGAGCCACAGTAACAACTCCATCCACATGTGAGAGTCCAGGAAGGTCCTTCAAATCCCACCCCTCGTCAAATCCGATAACTAGCAGCCCACTATAAACCACGATGGAGGTGATACCAAGGAGAAGACTTATCATGAGACCCGTTGATTTTTGCTCTTTCCAACCGAGGTGGACGTAGATAATGGTCATAGCGAGATTAGAAGCCGATCGGAAAACAAGAAACGGCGTTATTATCAGCATTAGGAGCTTCGAAATCTAGGTGTTTAGAAAAAGAAAATATTAGCCCAGACGGTAAATTTTTGCATCTAGCTCACCCTGGTCTGTATCGGTCTTGAATCTCTCCAGATGACACACGCGCTTGCAAACATCTCAACACTGATAGCGCAATATGCTGTAACGTAAGGAAGATGGATACTGCTGTACCAGTTCGAAATGCTGACTGCTTTCGCGTTGTTGATGTGATTGGATATGTATACTTGGGCATAAGAGTAGAGCACAGTGTCCGCAATACCAACGAGGAGAATCAGGATCCAGATTCCCAGGTGGATGTTTTGGATTGCCTTATATCCGCCTTGTTCTGGGTTGCAATAGATAAAGCGGTTTTTGATAACGCTGTAAACAACATATATGAGGGTTGTATCTGTTCCGTTCGATAGGACCTGCTTGAGAATCGGAAGTATAAGATATGAACCTGTCATGTTGAGCCTGTATTCGTGGATAATCTCGTCGGCCATTGTGCGGCCATATGCACTGGCAAATGTAAGCCCAATTTATACAGACAGATTTGCGACTGGGAGCAGGAGACGAACAGAAACATCGCAACTAGCAATCCATATAAGACAGCGAATACCTTCCGACCTTTCGATCTGCTACCCTTCATCCACCAAGAAATGATGCCTAATGTTGCAAAACACAATACACAGATTCCATTCACTGCTATTGCAGAGACTAAGATGGGTTCTTTGAAGTGATTACCAGAGAGTTGGGTGCTGTTCTCGTTAAAGCCGAAATTATATCCACCCAGAAGAAGGTTGGTATTTGAGTAGTTGGCCATTTTGAATCAAGGAAAGACTTGTTGCGGAGAGAAATGCGAAACCGGGGAAAGGGTAGCGAATTTTATGGAGAAAACCCGGGGCTATAGATAACATTATGTCTTAACAGCCTTCTTATCTTCCTTGAAATGGCTCCCAGCCTCATACGCTCAAGCTCGCTTGCTGCCCTTAAGTAAGATCCTGGCTTGCATAGCCCAGCGCAACTTAACAAATGAATAAATGAGAGTATGAAACAGCTTGATGGCCTAATCTTAGCTTGCACTTCAGAGCTGATAAGGGATTTGCTAAAAGCAAAATGGCTGTGTGTGACCGAAGAAATGGAGGGGCCCAAAAGAGCGCCACACACCTCTCAATTGAACTAATTTAGGCCATTGGACTTGATAAGAGCAGCCGACTCAGAGGATTACGGCGCAGCCCTCGAAATGTCTCAGCAACAACAGTTTCCGCGAATTAGCGACTGTGGCTGCTTCCAGCAACCTGCAGTAGCAATGGAATCGAAAGCCTGACCGTTTTGCAAAGCCAATGGGGAGAATTTCGCAAATCGACGTGGACACGCACAGAGACCGTTTGGGGTTGTTAAGGCTGAAACAATTCTCGATTCGCTGTTGAGTCCGACAACTTGCTGCGAAATTATGCAAAGAGTGGGGGAAGGCTTTTGGTGGTGGCGAAACAGGGCTCTGTGTAACCCCAATATCTTGGCATAGCCACCATTTTCTTGTTTTCAGCTGTCAAGCATGCCCAAATTCCAAAGCTTGGGCGATGAAATGCATGAGCCACGAATAAGGTGAAGAGGTCTAAATTGAGGCTGAGACTATGTGCGGCACCTATCGAAGATGGAGCAGGACAGAGTCGTATTTACCGGCTTCGACTAGTTCCACGACCTTCCCAGTCATGAGTCCATGGACATCTGTCTCTTCGGGTTAGCAGCTGGATATGTGTCATGATTGGGGTTTTAAATGCCTACAGGCTTCACCTATAACTTCAAAACAAGTCCTGGTCTCGTCAATTTGGTGCGGCCTAAGCACCATTGGAACATGGCAACCAAAAATAACAGCAATCACATCGTCCTTCTCCACTGCTTGGGGTCCTAACCCTAGGAAGCCCGCGGAGGTTGTAAACAGCATTCGGCCTGGCAATGCTCTCCCACAGCTTCTAAACGTAGGATTGTCCGGCGTAATTATCGAGTTGGCTGCCTCCGGGGACAAAAGTTCTCCCTCTGTAGTTCTATCAATTGCCATAGTGCGCAAAAGAACTTCGGTTATAGATTCACCATCAGGGTTCAAAATTCCATCCTTTTCCTCTATAATCCTCAGGCCTTCACTCATACATTCTGCCAAATTACCAGTATAGTTGTGGCTGGTAATGTTGTCTACTCTGTCCAGAATGACCCCGCTGACCACTAAGAACAAGAGTTCCAATCCGTCCAGATGCCCTATGGATATAGTAGAGGCTAAATTGCCAGACACTCGAAACGGGATAAATTCTTTCTGAATTGTTTCTCTTTTCCAATGCTCGTATCCTCCAAATAGAGGAGCAGAAAGTCGTTCGTTTGCGAAATCGGGGACCCATGACGGGAGGTTCTGTATCAGTTGTCTCTCCCTGCCATCAAGAAGAGGAGTGTCTGCTGAAATGCGCTCACAAAAGGCCAATATACGTAAATTGTTGTCCTGGAGAATCACCGCCTTTGTAGCATCGATGTAAACCTCAACTACGCTCTTGCTATAGTCAGCCTTCAGGTTTGTGGGTCTCGGCTGCACATTGTTTAAACAGGCGTAGACCTTGTCTCTGGGATCTGTAGACTGGCAGGGCCGTGTACGACCCAGCACCGCTCCCAGGGAAGGATAGCTGCCTTTAAATAGCGGCGTGATCTTTTGAATCTGGGTAAACCTCAAGATACTGGCCTTGGGAATGATGCCATAGCCTAGCGTAGCACCTATGCATGCGTTTAGGCGGGTAATGAAATGAGCGATGACGTCCCTATCCAGCGTACGGTCTCCGCACTGCACGATGCATCTCTGTGCATGGTTCATTTCCTGGAGCACCCACGCGCGCGTCCACCAAGGCCGGAAAAAGAGATTCGCAACGGCGCTCCACTGCGCTACGTGAGCGGGGCTGATTGCTTCATTGGCGAGTAGTCGGCGCTTGGTCTCTTGTGTGTTGAGGATCGATGCTGCAAACGCGAGGCTTGAATCCTGGCCGATGGTTTCGATCACGTCGAGTGCTTCGTCGCTGTCAATCGACTTTTCGCCCAGCCACAGCACGGTGCGGCTTGCGTCTTGATAGAAACAGTGCATCCAATAGACCATGTAGTTCTTCTCGGGAATGTTGCTCTGGTCGATGCAGATTGCGTCAGCCCAGATACATCGTTCTTGGTCGGTGCGTCTTAGATAGCGGAGGGCACAGTCAAGGTTCTCAGTCACGGTGAATGTATTGTCGTTGACGATCAGCTTTTGTTTATTTGTTAGAGTACCCCAAGTATACGATAGGGCTTCATATGATGGTCGGTCAACATCATAGAAATACTCGGAAGATAGTCTGCAGTGAAGCGGGTCGTCTCTTTTTGGAGCAGGGTAAATGGTAAGCAGCCTGAACTGAGGTTCCTTTTGGTCCAAAGGATCGTATTTGAACGTTGGTGGCTCTAAGATGGACATGATGTTTGCACCACTAAATTTCGAGGGGATGAGGTAAAACCCTCCGAAGCAAGTGGGCTGTCAGCAAGCAATAATGGTTGCAGCAAACATTGCGCTGCAAGGATGAAGGCTCGAAAGATTTGAGCTCGAGGCATAGCCTGGTTAGTCCGTAGAGTCTCAACGGCGAACGAGGCGGCCCTGACGTTTTGGGTAGAATGTTGGTCGCCTGACCATGGTCGAAACAATTGTCAAACAGTTCGGCGATCAGGATTGCCCAGATTAAATTTAGTAATAATTATTTGATCTCGGAAGGTTCACCGGCCAACCGGCCAGACCCACTCAACCCCCAGGTTTCATTTCACCACAACAATAGCATAAAAGCAAACTTTTGAGTAGATAGTCGTAATCAACGAGCTTAGCATACTAGCCGTACAAATTTTGGAAATTTTCTAAGCCTTTGAAGAATTCTCAAATTGTTGGTGTTCTGACAGGGGTAAAGACAAGACATGGGCGCTGGGCAGTTGAGTGGTATGGGTGGGTGGCCAGTGAATACTTCCACGCAGGGGCAGGTAGTCATTTGAAGATTAGTGCTTCTTGGGCCAGACTTTGGTAAGATAATAGGGTATCTTTCTTATCCTAAGAACCCTCCACTATAATAGCTGTATGTTCGCTAAAATAGAAAAAGAATTATATCTTTATCGAATAGGAAGGTGGCTCTAAATAATGTTCAATTTTGAGGATGCAAAGTTATCGTCGAGAAATAGTAAAACCGTAGAATAAATATAATAAGCAAAGAAAAAGTCTAATAAAGAACAAGTTCAAAGCACAATCTATTTACCCCACCATCATTATTATATGCAGGGTCCGGACGTATTTATGAGAGAGCAGAAGCACAAGATCAGATTAGGAAGTGAGAAATAAGATGAAACATTGCTCTATATTGAAAATTTATACGTTTTACTCGCATTTACCGAGATGGCAGCCTTGTCTGTGAGACACAGTTATATGTTGTGGAGCTTTATGTCGTTCCTGTCGTTGGACGGGCCTGCCCCACGTGCCGAAAGTTTGTGGAGGCTCAGCACGGCACTGCCCAGGGAGGGGTTAGTGGCGCACCAACTGGAACGATGCCTGAAGTCGTGGGGCTCAGCGGGAAAAGTTGTCCTGCAGGCATGTCTCACCTCAGCTTGTCAGCCATACAAGCCTGTTGACGATGTTTTTTGGGGCATGCCTACGTGCTAGCAAGCCCAGGTCAAGCACTTCACTTTGCGGATGTAATATAAACATATATTATGAACGAAACAAGTTAAGCGGATACGATTTTAGAAGATAAAGCTAGTTTGAAACTACTTTTTGAGCTCCAGGAAAGTTTTTCATGCCCCTTTCTCGCCAACGAATTTCTATGGTCTCTCGTTACTTTCATTTCCCACGACCTGTCATACGTGTAATGTATAACAAACTGTGCCAAGATCAATCTCAAAAATTAAAAAGATCTCAAGGCATAAGCCAAGAACATTATGGCTATTTGTAGATTCCTATAGTTAATGTTGAGAGCTTACATAATTAGTATAAACTAACATGCGTCCCCCTTCTTAGTCTCGTATAAATCTCTTGCTTCTTTTTCTTTCCTAACCATTTCAACTTGACTTTAATTTGATTTGAATCAGAATCCTGATAGAATTTACTTGGCAAAACTAGAAAGGGATGGGTTGCCAGCGTCTTCCTATGCAGATTTAAAACTGCCCGCATCAAATCCTTCTCGTTATTGTATAAAAGTTAATCAAAGAACGTTAAAATTATTCTCAAAATGTATGCGGTAGCTAAGCTTTGAGTTCAATAATATATTAGCCCGTTTTATTATTGGGAAATGTAATGTGTGTTTAGTGCTCAATTTGATTATTTCATTTTTGAGAGGACGGGTGACAGCGATACTTGGCCGTCCCTAGGTTTCTTCAGATATAGTAATCAAATAAATCAAGGGCGGATATTTGGAACTTGCATTAGCGACGGCTATAGCCCATCCCTCAGGAGGTTTCTTCCTTATGTTCTACTGTTCTGCTTGCTTTCTCAGTCCCAAAGGCAGTAACTGTCTACCTAATATATATATATATTAAAGATTAAAAAAAAAATCGTGCTAATCAATGTAGCTTGGAATGATTTAACCTTTGAAAACAATGAAAGATCAATAGAAAGACTCGGACGCTCTTTGGGTCTCAGCGGGTCACCTTTGTCTTTGAGGAAGTGGCAAGTGAATGCGTTCTGTCGCCATCAAATTTCAGGTCGACGCCAGATCTCAACTTCCTTACAGCCCTCCTCTTTCCACTCCCCCACAACCCTCCAGCTGCACTCTAACTCTTTCAGACTCAAAATGGAGTGCGCGACTTGCAAAAAGCCCGCCACTCTAGCATGTAGTGGATGCAAAGGAGCTACTGTCCTCGAAGGCGACGCTCCTTCCGTTCACTATTGCAACGCGGGGTGCCAGAAAGCCAACTGGACTCAGCACAAAGCAACTTGTCGACGTCTTCAAGATCGTATTGTCCTCTATAGCGTCGTAGAGATGGCTCAGAGGCTATTCTACGTCAATCGTGAATTGACTTGGATCTACCTCGACATTGAGAAGGTCGAGAAGGTCGGAAAGCATCTTATCTTGCGTGGAAAGGCATGTTTCCAACCCCGTTTTCCTTTGCCTCCGTCTTCCCCCTTCCACTTTTGACCCTTCGCAAATTAGTTGCCACAGCTGCTAACCAAGTTGCTGCAGACAAGCGATCGAATGGAAACCACCTGGCCCGCAGATTACCGGGTCTTTCCCTCCCAACTCGTATCATCCAAGGAAGACAAGAATTCAATATTGGTCTTCCTTGCTTGTATAGAGGGATATATGTGGACTGTGGAATTCGTCGAGGGCATGCTAAAGGGTAAGAAAATTAAACACTTGTGAGGGACGGACATTAACATTTGGAAGGGATCGTCACTACTTCGACTCATGTCGTTTACAAGACCAAAAACGACAAGCTGCGCACACGTTGCTATTCAATGACAACCCCTATTGAAGAAATTGTGCGTGATACTGGTGGAATCACCCACGAGATGTTGAAGGTCACGTTGCGCTCAGGAGAGGTGTTTGCGGTCGATATCACAGGCGCCCAGTATGGATACAATGAGCCCGTCACGCCTTGGACCAAATACCAAAACGATCGGATTCTCTTCCAGTATCCAGAGAGTGGTCAGCCTGCTCCGCGCCCTTATCGGCTACTGCAAGTCAACGATTACAGCCTCCAGAAGCTCATCTACTTCTGCAAGAAGATGGCTGGGGACAAAACTGCGGAGGAGGCCATACCTTTTGTTTTTGCAGGTACCCTCAAGGCAATGAACCTCCGCATACTCGGTTGGCAAGGTAACGAGAAGCTCAGTCTCAGAGATATGTGGAAGCTGCCAGAGAAAACGTTGCGCGTGAAGCTCAATGATCTGATAGATTTCGTTGAGTGGAGTTTTCATGGTATTGTTCAGTATCCTTGGTCAACTGTCAATGGAAAGAGATTGGCCACGGAGAACAAGCATTCTTGGGTATACGGGAAGAAATGAACAGCTGGGACTTGGAGCTTGGCAAGATATTGGTGGGACGATCTGCTAATTTCCCCTGTTGATAAGCCAGTTGACTAAAACTCTCGTGCAGAGGCTCTCTTGAAGTGTAGAGATCCCATTCCGTCAATTCAGGGACCGAAGATGCTTTGTAACATAATACCAAAGAAATAAGTTGCCCGGCGATACCATGCCAAGGAATTTCCTCCTCTGCTTATATCTTAGACATAGCACAAGAGATCAAGAATATCCCCAAACTTCCTAAGATCACCCCAATTTTAATGTACCAATCAAGCCTGAAAGCCTTCCTCCAAGACCTGGTATCATTTTCTCTCGGAAATTCATGTTCAGGTATAGGCTTTCCCAAAAATTCACACAACGGCTCCCACCCGTCACCCAATCCGAACTCCAGAAACTCCCTCTTGTCTCTCAAAGCAATTTCTTTGATCATATCATTATGCTGTCCAAAGACTTCTATCCCATTGCGGCGTATGCTTCCGCGAAAGTAGTACTGGATGATAAGATCTACCAAGTGAGAGAGGTTTCTTTTCCTCTCATTCACAAATAACAGCAAGAAGCGATTTATGTGCGATGACTGAAGGGCGTGTATAGTGTTTAGCATAGACTTTTGCCAGCTGGCTGCTGATCGAGTCGTGAGAATAATCTTGGCGTTTGGATATGCTGCGATTAGATCTGGGCCGAAACATGCCGCCGGGATGTCTGTGACTGCCTGGATTATCAGATGATCAGTAATGTTCATTCCTCCATAGCTTAAATTGAGGAGGTATCTACATTATAGTCTCCCAATAATTGATTCCAATCGGTCTTCAAATCTTCGGTTGAGTTTCCACACTGTGGCTCATACTTCCTCCTCAACGCTGATATCCATAAATCCGCATGCGAAGGATCTTCATCCACGGTGAAGAAGTGGTACACTTTCTTGTATCCTAGCTCTTCTAAGGCTATTTTCATTGCTATGCATTTGTACTGTTATTAGCCAAGTATCCAAAACGGGTGAAATGCAAGTGGAGGCTTACAAAATGTCCCCGTGCGACACAAGCCAAGGGCGAGAACTTCTATGGGTGCAGCCATTGTTTGGGGTGGAAATTTCTCATCCATCGCAATGCAATGCGACCCCTCAGCGATCTGCTATCCAGAGAAAGTTGCGACGTTGAATTAGAGAAAGGGGGCGAGCCGGGGCTCAACCAACCAGATATGACCTGAATGCGAAGATCCTAGTCGGATACCCAAAAGTTGCTGCCTATCCGCCTCGGAAAAATCAACGGGATGGGGTTCCACCGTTATTCCAATCACAGGGTCCCGCGTGGTTGATCTTATGCAAGGTTTCCATTCAACCGAGAGGACTTGAGTGGGGGAGAGAATTGAGGCTTGCTTGGCTGCACTCAGCCACCCTCTTCATCCTGATCTGAGACAAACTCTCGCGAAATGTTCCCTCTTGCGATAATATTCTTGGGACTTGGGGCTGTAATCTGACGATAAGATTGGCAGTGCAGCGCGATATGTAACAGGGTCATGAACCGTGTCGGGCGACAGGCGGATTGATAGCCAGACTTCGTCGATCTTAAAAGCCGTCAAGTATTATATAAAGAGGGGTTGAATCCGTTTTTCAAACTCCAGAAGTCCAGATTTTTGAGAAACCTCACGTGTCATTTCTATTTAGTAAGTACATCTACTCCCAGGCATCAATGTCTAACAACATTTTAACCCTCGCAGCAGCAACGGCCATTGCCAAACTCCAGATCCAGCTAACTCACCCACCATTGCAAACCCAACGTCATATCAGACAGCTCAGAAACCATGGGGGCCGGTAGCAGCACTCCCATGACGCCAGCTCAGCGTGAAGCAGCCCGACAAAGGAGGGAAGAAAAACGAAAGAAGAAACAAGACGAGCAGGCGAAAAAGGATGCGCTGAAGCGAGAGAAAAAGGCCTGGCTCAGAAACTACAAGGCTCGACTGGAGAAGAAGTGGTGGCATGCTGGATGGTGGCCAATTTATGAGTGGTGGAAGGAGAAGAGTGCTTGGGAGGAAGAGTTGTATCGGAGGAGGAAGGAGGGATTGCTTGATTCTGAGGGAGTGCCATTGAGGGCTCATCATGATTAGGGGTTGGCAGAGCGTGGTGTTTCTTGAGAGAGATGATAGAACGTTGAGCGGGGCCCTGTTCACGTACCAGATGAGCTTGCAGTCATAATCAAATTTCTTAATATTCAAAACGCAAAGAATCTAATCTGACGTAACGCCAATTCTTAGAATCTCCGGCCAGGAGTTTCACTGTGCTGCTTTCAAGGCAGCGGCAGCTTTCGCCATCTTCGCTCTAGTTACTCCTACCTGTGTAGACAAGCGCCAAGGGTAATCCAAAGGGTCCATGAATACCTCGCAAACCTGAAACAATCAGAACCGAGGGACGCTCAAATCTAGGGAGGGGCATACCTGAATGCAATTGGCACTGTTAAAATCTTCATCTTTCAGTACAATCTCCAGTTCTTCCACAGTCTTGCAAGCGAAGCTCTTGCTCTGGATCCCGGTCTCCTTTCTCGCACCAAAGAACTCTAACATCTTCTGATGATCCCACAGCATACTGACATCATTGTAAGTTTGTTCCGGTCCATTGATTGCTCTCTCAATTGAGTATCCGTTATTATTGATAACAAAAACAATCGGCTTGAATCCAAAGCGGATGTATGAGCCAATCTCTTGGACTGTCATTTGGAGCGAGCCTTCTCCGACGAGCAAAACTACTCTTCCTAGACGATTCAGCTCTTTGGCGGCAACGCAAGCGCCGAGACAAGCACCAACGGTGTAGCCAATTGAAGACCAGAATGTTTGCGTGATGTAGCCTATGTTTCCTGGGAATGGAGAATCGGGCATTCCAAATTGGGCGGTGCCAGATTCAGCGAGGACGATATCACCGGGCTTCAAAAATCGACCGATCCTTTGCCAGATGAAAGATTGAGTGATTGGTCCTGACGTGGAACTATTCAATAGCGGAGGCTGGCCGCCATCAGAATTCCGTCAGGGGTCAATTGGGGATGAACTTACCTCCAGTTTTGTCCAGGACTGCTTTTTAGGAACGTCATATTGTGCCGGTTCCTTCTCAAGTTCTTCGACAATGCGCTTCAAGACTGGCAAAAAGTGAACTCCTTCATATCTCTTGCCGCGAATCTGGCAGTAGTCATGTGCCAAAATGATGTTGTGGTCATCCGTAATGTTTCTCGTAAAGCCGCCGGTATTAGAATCTGAGTGGATTGGGCCAATATCCAATACCAAATCTGAACTTTCTATAGCACTAGCAACGCCATCGAATGAGACTAAAGTCATCTGTTAGCTTAGGTTCCCGAATGAGAGATTCGAGCAGGTTACCTTCACCGTTGTAAAGACCATTGAAGTATGGGCTCGTCTCATCAACAACGCCTTTTGAAAGGGGAGTAGAGTACGTTGGGAATCTCGTCAAGTTCATGAGCTCTTCCGCTAACTTCTTTCCGCCATGACGTATTGTCAAGACATCTGCCAAAATTGCAGGAGCGGAAGCAGCTTTGATCAACTCAAGCGTTGACTTAACGATTTCATCTTCGACATCTTTGTTAGGATTTGTGACCACCGTCTTCAAGGGAGTCGCCAAGCGCTTGGCATCTAGCTGGATACCGGCTACGTCCATGGGAACGTAGATGTAAACTGGCAGTCTGCTCCGTAACCCTTCCTCGATGACTCGGTCAATTTCTTGGGCCATGGTCTTCTCATCCATCAACACGGTATACGCTTTGCGGATAGGACCAGCCATTCTGACGTAGATAGCATGATCCATACCTGGCTCCATTGTATGATGCAGCATCAATCGAGCCTTTTGGACTGTGCATGATGTATCAGCCAGAATTTCGGCGGCGATGTTTATTCACTTGGCCAAGAGTACGTACCCATTCTTGCCGGCATGCCCACGATATGGATCATGCCCGCATGTTCAGCGTAAGCTCCAGCAACACCGTTCATCGCCGACAATTCTCCCACGGCATATGTTGTGACCAGAGCCGCTGGCATGCCTTTGATGCGTGCATATCCGTCAGTTGCATATGCCGCATTGAGTTCATTACACGTTCCAAGCCATTTGAGTTCAGGCATCTTGAAAAGCTCATCCAAAAGTGAGACTGGGGAATATCAGTCTTCATTCATGCGCATTCCCTGGGTTTTAATGCAGTTTAAAATGTTAATAGGATGACTTACGATTAAAGTCTCCCGGAACACCAAAGACATGTTCGTTCCCCAACTCAGCAACTCTCTTAAAGAGATACTGTCCCATAGATATTGTTGCTGCCATTTTGGTGGCTGATGAGAGGTGATTGGGTAGGATGATAACAGTTGTCAGCTATGTTGAGGATCGAAAGTGGGATCGAGAGGCAGATATGTTGTATGTAACAAAACTTTTTCGGAGACCTCGAAGCTTAAATTTGTAAGAAAAACTGTGATTGGTGAATGAGCTGTGAAAAAGTTATTTCTAAACTCGTCCAAGCAAGGGCGTGCAGTGAACCCGAGCTTCCGAAGAGCCGTCAGACGGCTTGAAATGCCCAGATTCGGATATTGAAAGCTTACCGTCGGTATTAAGCACCAAGCTTCAATGATTGGTCAAGGAGATGCTTCCATCATGTGAGAAGCTCCGCAGAGGCGCGGAATGTTTGCGTGTCAGTTGAGGAAGTTGCGGTGGCTGAGTCAGCTAGCCCAGCTCGCCCAGCTCGCCCACCTCATTTACCCCTCTCTAGCCGGAGACCGCCTCGGCTATCCTCGGCTTTCCCCTATTCAAATGCAAAAATCAACATATGAACCCTGGAGGATACTTGAAGATATACTCAAGTAATGCAATCTCAGAGAAGATGATGATTCACGAAGCCGATTTAAATGGGGGACAATCCATCCTGCGAGTTCGGTTGGGTTTGACCGTGAAAGGTGAATTAAGCTTTGTTGACTACTTGTCAAAAGTATCCCAGTCGGGGTCCATTCTCACTCAAGCAGCCCCTGAGGAGCATCATAGTTAGTTCCACTTGATAACCTAGCTCGATATCATTCCTGCAAAGAATTACGTTCATCTTCTTTTCTTCGAATGCAAGAATTCAAGTTCCTACGAAGAATTACTAATAGCTACCTCATACGTCGAATGGTTTATCGTAGGAATTGGGATAGCTCGACGCGTTGGTTGTTGCAGCGCTCTGTGATCCTTCGAGACCATAAGTGGAAGTTGTGAATTCTTCTCGTCAGACATCCCTGACCAGTGCCGCGCGACTTTGTTCAGGACAATCTTGAGCCTATCATCTTCGGGGTCCGACCCAACGACGGTTGCATGAGCAACATCAAGGCCTGGCCAGCTTGGCAAACTTGTCACATGCTGGACTGATATATAAACGTCACCAATAGCGATGCGCTTTATGCTGTGTGCGGATGACCTCCAACTCGTCGTCTTCGATGCATATGCCTCGTAACAGAGTTCATTCATTTGATCTAACCAGACTGCAAAGTTAACACCCGCTGTCGGCGGCCTGCCAACAACAATCTCTCCCGGTTGTAAACTTTTCGAGACTGCCTGAGAGCCACTTGATGATGTAGACGGTAGTGAAAATCGATCAATGAACCGTTGCGCTAGTCGGAACATTTCTTCGGGCTCAACCGCGATTACAATTGGCACAGAAAGAGTATGACTGATGACACCGAGCTGCGTCCCGCATTCTGAAAAATAAATCCCTCGAATAACTGCTGTTCTGGGATCTCTAGACGAATGGTTCTCTTCTATGCAAGTAGCTAAGCATCAGTCTCTCATCAGTGAAATTTAGAAGGACAAACTTACTAACGCCACAACCAAAGGCCCACATGTATATTTTATCGTAGGCTACGAAAGAAACAAAGGGTACTTTTGGGTGGAAAGCGACATTTTGAAACCTTATGTTCGACATTATAACAGGTAGTGAGTCTGCGAATACTATCCGAGTGCCACGGGGTCCGGGGCAAAGCCGGTACACAGCAACAATGCCAGCAAAACCGAAAGTTGAGATAAAGGGTCTACTCTCTTTATCGATGTTGAAGTTTTGACGATCGTGATCCTTATCAGCAAAGAAGAGGAATCGATTATCAGGGCTGAGGAGGAAGAAGTACTCATAAAGTCCGTGGTAAGCTGACTGATATCCCCCGGTCCTCTGCTTTATCGAACAGTTCCGAACGTCGCAAGCCCGTTCAGTCCACCGTTCTCTTGTAGGTCCAAATGGTAGTGTCGGGACGGTTGTCACCGTGTATTTAGGCTTGAGGGTGTGGGTCTTTGTAGCCGATTCGTCCAGAAAGACGGCAGTTCTTAGTATTATGACGATTCTCAGGTCCTTGCTTATCTCTAGTGGGAACTGTAATTTCCATTCCGTGTCAGCAGAACCTTGGAGAGAGGGAAGTATGTAGCGAGACAGAGATTGACAGATGTGTAGACGAATCTCGTTCTCATTTAGCGGAATTTGAAGGTCTGTTGTTAGAGTAGGTGTCTGGTCTGTGGTCCAGATCTCGAACTTGGCAATCCATCCAGCGCAAATGTCTCCCAGGTCACTGATATGGCTTTTGGGCTCTAAATTTTTCGCCCAATCTTCGTATGCACTGTGTTTTGTTAATCTTTCAAACCTTCATTAGCTCCAAGGTGGAGTAACTCACCGAGGTGGCCAAATACTTAGTACGCCCAATTCGCGGGAGCTAGCTGACACTGCGGAGATAGTGCTCAGGGGGTTGGTGCTCAAATCCTCGTGTTTGGGGAATAGTGGTGTCAATGATGTAACAGCAGTAGCATTTGTTTGGGCAAAGAATCTGCTTGGAGTGTAGGCTGTGATGTCCTCCCAAATAATCTGCGGTGCTGCGGCAAGACTTGGGCCCCACAGCGTGTGTAAGTTATCAAGATCCCACCCGAACTCCCGGACATCCTCGGCGAGCTTTCGAAGGTCTCCCAAATTTTCTCGAGAAGCGTATTTGAGTGCCCAGTCGCTCCATGAACGTAGAGCCTTTGTATTAGGCGGCTGGCCCTTTCCGAAAACATAGAATGCTTCCATCATGGCCGTTAGAGTAGTCTTCTGCGGGAGAAATGCTGATAACACCCCAAATATATCGTCGACTATGTCCATTGGAATTCCTTGGTCTACTCTTCTTATGCGAGTAAACTCATGAGTGGGGATGGTGCTTTGAAGATGATACATCCAGTGGGTGGAGGAATATTTCAATAGCGGAAATGCTTTGTGCAAATCTATCGAGGAAGCCGGATCACTCAATTTCCCACTCAAAGGCTGAGAAGGGGTTTGGAAAGTCAAGTAGCTGAGACAAGCTGCTAAAATTTCTAAGTGGCCTTCAAATTTTGTCGGGATTAAATCTAGCCAGGGAGGTTGTGGATATTTATCTGAGTATCGTCTATTGAGCAATGACTTGTGCGCTGAGAGAAAGAATTCAAGGGCCGAAAGATGAACGAAATGGCAGGTTTTCGAGCTGGAAGTATGTACAAGGCCGGCACATGACAATACGATACTCCGTTCGATGTCCACGAACTTTGTCGACGCTGGGGACTTTCCTGGCAGTGACGTGAGCGCCTCGTGTAGCTCCTGGATTCCCAATTCCGATTGACCATAGGCAAACCAGCTGAAAACACGCTTAGCAAGCTCCTGTTCCGGCTTGGTGGCGGCTGTGATGAGGCCCAGGGCTCTTTGATACATGTCCTCAAGTCGCTCGGGGAGGGTTACGGTATGAATAGCTTTCAAGCATTGAGCTGGAGTTAGTGCCGGGGATCCTAGGTAGTTTATCATTAGGCGAGCCCAAAGAAACATGCCATCCGAGCCTTGAAGCAGTCTCTTGACGATCTCTTCTTCTCCGTCGGACCGCATCAGCAGACGGCGTCGAACCAAGTCATGGATGTTATTGGAAAGGAAGAGTTCGATGTCTTGCTTAATGAGATCCCCGCTCATCGAGATGCACTTGTCTTCTGCTACTAGAAAAGGTAAATGGGCAGAATTTGGTCTGCTGAAGAATATGATGTTGACGTCTGATCCTTCGGCGATGTCTGTCAAATCCTTCAATAGTCCAGCTTCATCGTCGCATTCGTCGATGGCATCGAGTACGATAAATACTTTGCCCAAGGACTGTAGACAAACTCTCAACAACTCTGTCATTTCTGATCTAGACCCAATCATCTGACCTCCAGTCTCTTGGTTTGTCATGAACGCGAAAGCATCGAGAATTTTTGTGTCATTCCGCTTGCGTTGAAGGATCTGAGCTAGAATCGCTCGGTACGCACCAGCGATTGAATTGCCTTCGGATACGTTCTGGCTGAAGAAATAGTAGCAAACGATAGCTGAAGAGGTGAATGGTAGGTTTCGAAGCTCCCGGACCGTCGAACTAGCCAGGACCGTTTTCCCACAACCAGGGTTTCCTTTGCATCGTTAAGAGAAGAATAAAGATGACGGGAGAAGAAGAATCTTACCTTTCACCCACAAAAACTTTGAACCTTCAGATGGGAAGGGATATTGTTCAGCCGTCTCATCAGAACCTCTCCAATTTACAAAGGTGGCCTCTTCGAACAGCCATACGGCCGTCCCATCTTGCTGCAAACGTCGCGCCTCGTCCAGTCTTTCCATGAAATTTGGGGGATTCAACCAGGCTTGCAATCTGCTGAAAGTCTGCTCTAAAGTTTCAGAATCAGCATAGGTTATAATCCAAAGATAAATTGGTTGAAACATACTCTTCAGCTCCGCTTCCATGTCGGTCAAAACCTGCCCGGTAAGATGCTGGTGGATTTGAGTTTTATACCGAGCAGCTACAGCATTTTGCCGCTCCTCTGCCGCGTCCCTTTCTGCAATTGTAAAGCTTCGAAATCCGCTTAGGAACAACTCGTCCTTTACAATCTCTTGGTGCATATCTAGTCGCTCCAAAATCTGCCGAAACCTGATATCGAACGGTTTCCAAACGAGACTACCAATGACAATTGGTGTTCTCTTCCGCTCTGTCAAGTACTTGAGCCAAACTCCAGAAGCGCCTAGGGATTGAAAGAAACTTACTGCCGTTATCCTTGATAAATACACGAACTAGAGATCGAAAAAAAGTCGAACAAATCGAGGTAAATGGCGCATAGTGAGGACTTGAATGATTTTGAAACCTTTCTTAGATCGATATATCTTTCAATGCCCCAATATCCAGGAAACACTGCTGCAATCCGTTCGATTGCAATGGCCAGCTTCTCAAAAAACTCCGCAAAATTGCTCGCAAACTGTCTTGTTAGAAAATTTCCACCTACTACGAGACCTGAGTAAATTACCTGAACGATCAAACGAAAAGCCCCCCATGCGATAGCCGCGAACTCTGGATTAGATTGAATAACGATTTCAACGATTCGGAAGTAGGGCTCTAGGCTGTCGCTGAGTGTTTTAATCCTTTTCAAAAGCACAGATGCGGTACGCTTTTGCTCGAAAGTTTTTGCGTCCGCCAGTATCTTTCTCAGATCCTGGAGTAGATCTTCTGCTGACGAACTTGTGGAGTATCTGCTCTTTTCTTCTTCTGGGATTGAATCCAAGAATTGCCGCTGTGCTTGAAGAAACACCGACGAGGCTTTGGTATCTTCGTGATCTGCCTCGGCTGCAGACTGGTCGCGTTGGATATCTATCTCCGTGCCAGTGTCCGCGGTACTGCATAGCTCCGATGCCATCGCTGATGGATCTCAGGTTCGAGAGAGCGCCGTTCTGCCTTGACTTGTAGAAGTAGAATGAAGTTTTCTTGTCCCAGATAATCGATAGAAAACCGGATTGTGAGGCTGACTTCACAGCCACCGCCACCGGGCGGACCCAAGACCAATCCATCAGGCTGTGCAAAGCCCCTTTCTCCTATCCATTTATGAAGTACTCCATTAATAAAACATCCCCATCAGAGCTCTTAAACCGCCCTTATCTCTCATCGAAATAATCGAGATGGACCCGTCTATTCCCCTCCCGGAGACGGCATTAGAACGGATGGCCGGAAGTGCACCATAATTTGTGCTTGTGCGGGGTTGCTACAGGGTGAGGGTTGTACAAAACCTCAAAGACCCCACTTTATTTCTGATCTGATTTAATTAATGAGTACCCAAACGATCGTTACGGTGTTCATAGAAACGAAAGATGATCGCCCTTCTTGAGGAGACTTGGAAGCCCCAGCTACAACATCAGGAGATGCGCCAGATGTTTTGCTTGTTGGCAAGGACGAGTTGATGCAGAGAGCAGCGAAGGAGATGGTAAGTAAAATCGTGAGGAGTTCATCATAGACACATGTTGACGTTGACCAAGTGATCAGCCAACGAGAAGCAAGAAGGATAGAAAATTCTCGGAAAACCCGAAAGAGGGCTGCGAATTATGAGTTGTAATATACCAGTAATGGTGAGTCCGCGACTCATGTTATGCTGGTGGAGGGGGGGGGGGGGGCTGGCGATGTTCCCAGAATCTCAACACATCGCGAGGAATAGCTCGTCGCCGCTTTCGGTCTTTCATTTGTCGTTCTTGGAGGAGAATGTGGTTTTTGATTTGCAGCGAGGTGGAAAGTGTTGGGCCGAGAGAGAAGTCACGTTGAGCATGCTGCTTTGGTCCATTGGCATAGATACTCAACGACCAATTGTATTCGAGGAAGGACAATAGACTGCGACTACAGTAGAAACTCGCTATAACGATACCATTTTTAGCGCCATTTTCTTACGATACACCGAGGTATCGTTCAATCAAGGATCACGTGCATATGTACTAAATATAGAAGGGACTGAAGATATATAAAGAACCTCTCAACCCTAACGCCTCACTACTTGCAAAGAACCTCCCGAGAACTCCAAATAAGCTTGCCTTGCCTTTGCTGCCTTCCTTTGGATATACGTAGCTTTTATAGCGTCAAGCTTACGTATAACCTCACTTTGTCCATCCTCCTGTTGCTTCTCATATAGATTCAGTAAATCAAGTGCAGCTATCGCTTCAACCAACTTCACTTCCCTAATCTCCTCCTGCTCCTCCTCCTCCTCTATATCAGACTAAGTGTCCCTTGAACCTCCCTGTATATAGCGATTCACAATCACCTCTAGAGTCATATTCTCATCCTCCACGATTTCCTCGTTAATTGGTATAATAAACTGGCTAATAGGGAGAGGATCATTAAATTGAGTGGTATACTGAATGGTCGATTGGAGGGTTTCGATTATCTCTCGATCCTTTGCTTGCTGAGTAGCCCATTCTAGATCAATTTCGCCGTAGGTATCGAGATCTCCACCAAGGAGAGGTTTTGCGATAAGGCTTGATTTATACCAGCAATTCGTAATCGTGGAAGCTTTGACGTGGTTATTCCAGGCATGTACTATCCAGTTAACCGTATAGAGGAGAGTGACTGTCTTATTGGGATCCTTATCCGCCTCAAATTACTTGATCATATAGCTAACCCACTGCTTGCGATAATAAAGCTTGAAGGTACTAATAATACCTTGATCTGCCGGTTACTAGTACGATGTTATATTGGGAGGTAGCCATTCCACTCGTACGTATAAGAGAGCTTGTTTTCTACCAACGAGATCAATACCATATTGGTGCCCTGAGAAGTTGTCCATAAATAGAAGAACGTACCGGCCTTGAGCAGAGCACTTGCGATTAACCCAGTGGAGGTATTCTGTACAGATAATACCAGTCATCCACTTAGAGTTATTATACCGGTATTATATACCTAAGAGTTATCGATTAATATGCTTAAAACACCGAGGGTTTTCGCTCTTTCTAATCAACCAAGGCTCCTACTTATCAGTACCCGTAGTATTGACCGTAAGAGCAAGAGTAATTCGGTCTTTACTCTTTCTGCCTCCATTACTAGCCTCAGTTGCTAGTATACGGTTTGGTAACAGTTTCCAGAATAAACCAGTCTTATCCATATTCAAGACGTTCTCAGGAGGGTATGTGGCTGCCAAGTCTCGATTCTCCTGCATTTGCTTAATATTCTTAGGGCTATCAATATCTGCCGTGCCCCCTTCGCCATAGCAGACGTATTCCTTGATATGGAAGCGATTCTTGAAGTTGGTCAACCACCCATTAGACCATTTAGGCTCTGGTTGCTCGTGATATTGAGGGAGAAGGTGCCAGATCTCGTATGCCTTCTGCTTGAGAGTATCGCCCGTAATTACTGCCTTCTGCCCTTGCATCTTCTGTTGCTATTCAAAGAGTGCCGCTTCAAGATCAGGCCAATTAGATTGGCTTAAACGTTGAAGCGTAAGGCTCGTATCTTTTCGTATATCGGTATCGAGGTAATCGAATTGAGGGCTAAGGCTAAGGGAAACAGTCGACTGGTTGATCTTGTGGTTAAACTCGTCCTGGAACCACTCAATAAGATCAGCGTGTGTAGCTTTGGGATGGGATTGCTTATGCCTCCGTAGAGCTCGGCGATTAGCTTCTGTCATGCCTCTTCGTCGTTTTTTAGGCTGTTCGGGGGCTAGAGAGCCAGAGGTAAGAGCCTGAGAGGGAGCGGATAGCCCTGAGGGCTCTGGAATATCGATAAATTGATCCATTGCTCAGGCTAATTTAGAACGATACACCACCAAAAATCAAGGGTTGGGACCGAAGAACCTAACAATAATCGTATTACTAAGGATATCGTAAGCCTAAGGCTAAAAAAGCACGGGACCGTACGGCCGTATCGTATTACTAAGGATATCGCTATATCGGGGATCGTTATAGCGAGTTTCTACTGTATAGCAATGCAGATGATTGCTCGGTCTTCTGTCAATCCTGAACCGAAGAAATTGTTACACGGTGCACCTTGAACATGAGTATCCTTTCCCGCTTCAGCGAGAAGAGTTCGGTCAACAAGCAGAAGAAAAGAATCGCCTTTGGGTGATTCTTGAGGCCATGATTCAATTAAGCTTTCGTTAAGAGAAGACGGCAGGGAAGGAAGAGAAGAAGTTGAAAATTCGGTAAGCCCTGTCTTGCACGTGACCAGAGTCTTGCGTCGCTTAGAACAACGCTAATTCTCCAAAACCCACCAAGCATAATTTTCCGCTCTTTTCAAGGTTACGACCAACCTCACACGACAACAACATCACGATTGTGCTGGTGATCTTCGAACTCATCAGGTCAGTATTTGCGATTCATCATACACCTAGCCGTCGAATATTTTGGAATCGAATCGCAACCAGAGTCTGCGGAGGTGAATTGGAAGATTGCAAATGAGGTCGCATTCAGCAATTTCGAATTGCAAAGCTGTCTCTAAGGACTCGGCTTGTGCTATCGAGCGCTTTCTGCACGTCTGCTGCTATCTGGAATCTGCGAAATACTCTGGTTGTGTGAATGATTCTGTGCTTTCGACAGCTTGTCAAATCAAATTCATTTTCTAGACCCTCACCTACCAGTCCTTTGCTAACCCCTCTGCACACAACAGAAACCGCGATCATGGGTATTTCTCGTGACAGCAGACACAAGCGCTCCGCCTCTGGCGCCAAGCGTGCATATTACCGTGCGTAGTAGAAAGCCCACTTGTCTTCAGACATGTGTTCCGACCTGAAAACTGAGAAATTTTTACAGGGAAGAAGCGCGCTTTCGAAGCCGGCCGACAAGAATCCAACACCCGTATCGGAGCCAAGAGAATCCACCTCGTCCGTACCCGTGGTGGCAACCGAAAGTTCCGTGCTCTCCGTCTCGAATCCGGCAACTTCTCGTGGGCTTCTGAGGGCATTGCCCGCAAAGTCCGTGTGATTGTCGTCGCTTTCCATCCTTCCAACAACGAACTCGTCCGAACAAACACCCTCACCAAGTCTGCCGTCGTCCACGTCGATGCTGCCCCTTTCCGACAATGGTATGAGGCCCACTACGGAACCAACCTCGGCCGAAGACGCCAACAGAAGGCTGCCGCCGACGAGCCTGAGAAGAAGAGCAAGGGGGTACAGAAGAAGCAGGCTGATCGATTGGCTGCGAAGGGAAAGGTTGAGGCAGCTTTGGAGAAGCAGTTCGAGGCCGGTCGTCTTTTGGCTGTCGTTTCGTCTAGACCTGGACAAAGTGGCCGTGTCGATGGATACATCCTGGAGGGCGAGGAGTTGGCTTTCTACCAAAGACAATTGCGCAAGTAGAGGATTTTCTACGGGGCTGGTATGGGATTGTACTTCTGTGGAAATCATGGGATGGAGTTGCATTTGCAGACTGCTAGTAGAGAGCGATTTCAGTGCAGGCAAATGAGCAATAAAAAAGCATACCAAATCACACCTTCGTAGATCTTTGTGACGGCACTGCTTGTTGTTTCTGATTCCTGTTTTCGGCAAGTTGTGGTTGGCTACAGAATCTCTGCAGACCCCGCAGCCAATCTTCAGCCTCGCTCATCACAGGCCCAATCTTCCTACACAACATTGCCTGACAACCATCAACGCCAACTCAAGATATTTTAGATATTGCAGGCTCGGTCTTCTTTCATCCTTACACAGCCAAATATACACCTGAAGGTTCTATCTACGCCACAACACGCCCAACATGTCCGCCGAAGCCTCATCCTCTCGCGATGCACCTACCCTTCCCTCCCCCGAACCACCCTCCATCTCCCCAACCCTCCCCTCAACCTCCTCCTCGCAAACGCACCCCTCTCCACCCCTCCACTCCCCCGAAACAGCGCGCCAAATCGCCGAAGCGCGCGCCGCCCTCGAAGCATCCATGACCAATATCGGCAACCAGCACTTCTCCTCTCTGCAATCCCGAGCCCAAAACCTACACGCAAACACCGCACAACTGGACAAGCAGCAAAAGGACGTTATTAAAGCGACAGATGGGCTGAAGAAGGAGACAGAGAAGCTAAGGAAGTGGGCGGATGAGGGGCAGAGGATGGTGAAGGAGTTGGGGAATGTGCAGAATTGGGCGGAGATGCTGGAGAGGGATTTCTTGGTGCTTGGAGAGACGATTCGGTTGGCGAATGGTGGGGGGAGTCAGAGTCAGAGTGGGAGTGGGAGTGGGAGTGAGTGGGAGACGGATAGTGAGTTTGAGGAGGAGGGCGGGGAGAAGCAAGGTCAGGGTGATGAAGAAGGCAAAGTGGTGGATCAAGAGCCGGGTGTCAGGGAGGAGATGAGGGTTGTGGATGCGGAGGGCGATACGGAGATGCACGATACAGAGGACAATGACAAAGGGAAGGGGAAAGCTGTTGATGTTGAACAGGAAACTACGAATACGGAGCACCAGCCTGAGGATCTTGGAGGCTCTTCTACGGCGACAGGATCAGATCCTTCTTCGAGTTCGGTGCATACAGCAGCATCTGCAACCAGCTGATGGGCTTGGTGGGGAAGGTTTGCCTCTTTGGCATGCCAAGTCGGATGGGCCCTGTCCTTTGCAGCGTCTGCGGATCATCCAAGAAGATACCATGCGAGGGGCTTCGAAAACCTCCATATCGTGGCTGGTCCCGTATAGCATATTAAATCTGCCCAAAAGTCGACCTCAACAGCTTTGCGGTCTGGGTCGTTGACCTGAAATGGCATATCTTCGCGCTCTGCTTGGCGACGTCATGGCGGTCGAGGCTAGCCTGGAAGCTTTGAAGGATGGATTATTTCGAAGGAGATATAAGAAGTACCGGGAGACGCCCAGAGCAGTCTAAGCAATTTCCGAGGTTGAAAAGTACTTGCACCATGTCGATAAATGCAGAATCCTTGAAGCCGGGCACAGTGGAACAGTCACATCCAACACCATCTCTCACTAGTACAACGTGTACGTTTTCCTCGTACCTAACACACCTCCATTCGGTGGATGGCGAGGCTTGACGAACTGAATCTAACCTCACAGGGCCAAACCAAACTTCTCCTCCCTGTCCCGTCCCTGTAGTTCCCCTTCCACCTCGAATGCGACACGGAAAGCTTCCGCCACATCGGAGGTAGGGGACATGGAGATCGAAGCACAGTAATCTTAAAGATGGTCGTTTCGAAGGCCTAAGCTTTGTGGAAGCATACTCCGAGGTGGCGGAGATTGAGCAACGATTCACGACCACGATGGTGTTCAGCAAACGGATCAACTGGACACAAGATACATCTTTCTTACTCACGATGGAGTCTAGATGTTCTTGAAGACTATGGGCACGAGAACGGGAAAGAAAGCGATCCCAGATGGACTGGGAGAGAAGGATAAGCATCCGCCGGGTGAATATCGGATTCGGTTGCATTTGACGTTCGAGTCTGGCGATGAGAAATATAGTTGGTTGAACAGCATTGTTGCTACTGCGAGTTATGCGAGGAACGGGACGACAATTGTTTATAATGCTTATCAAGTTTTGTATGCGTAGGGTAGGGAGTCACGAATTAACGAACTATTGTTCTCTTCAGCTGGGATCTTCAACTATCAGCAATGGGGATCGATTCTTTCGGTTCTCTACTGTTACTGCTTATCCATCTCGGTACTATTATGGATCCTCAGCACGAGTCTAAGCAAGGCTGATGCTTCACTTCAACAGAAACTACCTTGAGTCTAGTGACTTTAGCACCAGCACCAACTCGATCCACGAATCGTCATCATGGCCTGAAGATCAACCGACTTCCCGAAGAATGGTTTCCTTGTATTCTGTTTCGTTCCACAGTATTTGGCCACCTTTTTTTAATTCTAGATTTTGTAGCGTGAGTTGAGAGGATTTTTTTCTATTTCCAGACAGCGAGAATGGCCTCCTCCGGATTAACCCCCTCTGCAAACAGTGTGTCAAAAAAAAATCAAGGCTAATTAATTATAATTAACTATAGTTAATTATAGTCGATTATGATTTGATTCAGCAAATTTTGACTTGATTTGATTTGATTATGATTATAATTAATTATAATTAACTATAATCATTACGTGATACTAAGAAAACTTGAATTTCTCAAGTAACTTAAAAGATTATTAATAATTAACGGCTATATTAATAAGTTATAAACAAAACTTATAGAATATATATAAGAGTATAAAGTTAGTCTAAATCGGGTATAAAAAACTGCATATCTTTCTTAGAAACCTCTTTATCTTTTTTATTCTTATTTATCCTTTTTTATTTCTCTCTATTTTGAGGGATATTAAGGTTAATTAAAGATTATTGAGACATTTTCGAATATATTGAGTAAAAATAAGTAAGTTTATAGTCGAAAGCTTCTTAATTAGAGCTATAATTGTTGAGATATTTATATATAAAGTAAAGGGGGAAGAAAGCAACCTGAGGAAAATCACTTATTTATATGTAAATCCTCTAGAATATAGAAGATTATTTAATAAGCGTCTAATTAGATATAACCCTCTAATTTTAAAGTATCTATTTGTAAGAGAGCCTATTTTTAGCTAATTTATTTATAATAATAAGATTTATAAGGTGGCGAAGAATTACTAGAAAATCGAGAAGGTTTTAGCGCCTTCGGCTCGCGCCGCTTCGCTTACCAAGCAGCGCGATACCCGATTTAGTAAGGAGCGCCTTAAGCGATACCGGATACGGACTAGCCTAAGCCTAATTTTAGCCTTATCTCGCTTTCGAACCTCCGAGCGCACGTGCACGCTCACGTGACTAAATAATTAACTATAATCAACTATAGTTGATTATAGTTGATTATGATTTGATTAAGTAGATTTTGACTTGATTTGATTTGATTCAGAGGCTATAATCAAATCAAACTAAATCATTTGACACACTGTCTGCAAACCACTTAACACCCCCACACCCAAACCACACCACAACGCACCCCAAACTCTCACAACCTATAAACAAGTTCCCCAATCACCGATTGTTTTGGGGCCGGAATGACATTGGTTTGCGTCTATTGGGATGGGGTTGTGTTGTCTGGGGATCTGTGTCGGGATAATGTTCGGTGTTACGAATGCGGTATTCCGGGAGGGGGTTTCTCGGGTGGAGGTGAGGAGGAATGGAGGGAGAAAGATGCCGGAGGGGAGGGTGAGGATAGGTATAGTTGCTGGGATCACGTTCCTGATCAACTTGTTCTGGTTTGTCTGGACTGGCTATAAAAGTATCCGTTGGATCGTTTCTATCCCACGTCGACGCTTCGGGGCTGGAGTTTCTATACGTTGATTCTGACGACATATACTTACACGGGAGACTCGTACAAGATGAGTTTTCCCTCTTCCTTGACGATCATTCTCTGATTTCTTAGAGACATACTCTGCCTCAGCCTCGCCGGTATTGTTCTGATTTGCGCCTATTAGGAGCTGGATTTCCCCTCTTCGGAACTCAGAAGTACCACAAGCTCGGCAATCAAGGCGCCACCAGTCTTCTCCCCTGCCTGGCAATACTCATGGCTCTCATCCCATTTATTTTGAGGAGATATGGAATCGAGTTGAGGCGAAGGAGTCCGTGGGCAAGGATCGATGTTGAACGTGGTGGCGAGGAAGATGGAAAAAGAGACGAAGGGACAAGCTCCACCCCGCTCCCTCACATAGAGTAGGGGAAGGCGAGGCCGGGAAAACCTCGTTTTTCTTCTTCCTCCTCCACTAGTGGAAAATCTTACCATCACGTGAGTAACTTAGATCTTGTGAAAGGAGTTGTTCCTTGCTGAGGTAAGTTAAATATGGGATAACCCCAGGTCGCAAGTTCATGTCACCAATCTCACGCGGAATTTATTGATCTGATATCGGATCTATAGTGCACGTAACCTGGGGCGTTTTTCCATGTGGGGCTTTTGCTGGAGCGATAAGTTATATACTTTTAGAGCCCTGGCGATCAGGTCCACTTTGAGCTGGCATCTGGAATTAATATTTTCCGAAACTATCAGAGATCTCCGCGGCACCACCATATTATTGCCTGCTATGCCTCTCTAGCCAGACTACCAGAAATTCTTTTACCCGAAACCCAAAATTTCAATTTGTTTCAATCGGCAGACCCAACCAGCTTATGCGTTCGGGAAGGAGACTATTCTGATTTTAGCCGCCCGAGGTGACCGCGCCTCTCCATCTTCAAAAGTTGGACCTCTACATTTAAGCTTCCCCGCTTATTTAATTTACGACACATACATAGTCTACACGTACCCCTGGAACGTTTATTCGAGAAGTCCAAGCTCGCCCCCATACTATGACCGAACGCGGACACCTTCACGAAGTCCCGAGGCTGGAGACGATCTCCCCCGCGGGGAAACATGCAGCACAGGGGCAGGCTCCTGCCACGACATGCCATGGCTGAAGTTTTTCCCGGTACCAACACTCAGCCAAGTCCAATTAGTTCTTCAGGCCCACAGGATTCATCCGGTTGCTCTGTATATCTTTCACAACTTTCATCATACACGTGTGATCACCAATGTCACAAACACGAGGGCTTGTTTTGGCCCACAAACTGCCGGTGGAGCGTTGGATAGACAACTCAGCTTTGGGACCGAGACGTGTGGTTAGGTGGATTCATTTGGACCTGGTTTCAACTCGTTACCGTGATCTGTGACCCCCCATACACCAATACGAGCGATTTCCCAATCGGGGCCCCCGATTAGGGAATCGGACGCTACGATTAGGGAATGGGAGCTTCTTTACGAATCGGGCGTCCGATTAGGGAATCAGGGGCCCGATTGCCCAATCGGGTAATATTTGGGTATCGGGAATAACAAAATGAGGATATATTAAAGACACTTCACCCATACTAAGCTTTACTGGCCATGCCTCCCACTACGTCTAGGTGCTCCCATAGCTACCTTAGCCCTTTTTGGTGCCCTCCCCTCTACTTGATTACCTGATTCTCCTCCTCCAGCTCTATCCTTACGTGCTTGCTCAGTAGCTACTCTCTTCTTTGCTCTCTCAGATACCCTTCCAGCCTTCTGAACTGACGAGATTAATCTACGGCTATTTTCCAAGGCAACTGCCTTTGGTAAGGTAATCTTATCCTTTTTGTAAACTGCCCCAGTAATAGGTAATTCAGAATAAGTTAATTGGGAGGTAACTTTATTGAGGGTACCATGCGGCCAGAGAGTGGTAAGTTTACTATATTTGGTAGTAAGCCGGTATTCCTATATTTATTAGCTTTAGTAAGTATATTTATATAGGGTATATACCTTTAAAGTTTTCTCCAGAACTCTTACTAGTATCCTTGCCATCTCCGTACTAAATCGATACTGTTTTGGTATCTAAAGCGTTATAATCTCTTGATCGGTATACTCAAGAGCCTTGGAATTTGCCTTCTTTACCATCTTCTCTTACTACTTCCTTATATGCTCCGTAACCCTCTTGGTTAGTTCAGATAAAATCATCTCCTCTGCCGCTTCCTCCAGTTCAGCTCCCTGATTAATAAATAAGCTATCCTCATTCTCATTATCCTCCTCTCCTTTAGTAACCTCAATTATAGACGATTCTCTAGAAGTACCACTCTCATTCCCCCCCCTAGTGCCGTACGTATACGCCGAGCGTTCCCTTTGTGGTCTTGAAAATTGGTAGGTGGCTTTTATCTAAACCATATCTCATATAGCGTATTACCCTTAGGTAAAGCAGAGGTAGGAGTGGTATTAATAACCCATGCAATTAATGGAAGTAATTATATCTACGATTGAATACCAGTATCCGCTCGTATAGCTTGCAGGCGCCTTTTAAATATGCGATTAGTAATCTCAATAGAGCCTTGTAATTGAGGATAGTAAGCTCGTCTACGGATAATCTTTATCCCTCTTTGCTTACAAACCTTAATGACTTTGCCTTTGAACTCTCTTCTATTATTATAGGCTAGGATAGAGATATACCCATTATTATTTAGCCATTTGATAAGCTCGTCCGCAGCTTTATCCGCAGTTTTAGCCTTGAGCCTACGGATCCAAACGAACTTGGAAAAGTGGCATTTCAATTACCAAATCCACGTGTATTCTCCGTCTAAATCATGCTATAATAGTATTAATGAAGTGTGGATAAAAAGGTTCGGAATTTGCGAAATTCGCGAAAATCGCAGGAAAAGCTCAAAAACGCAGGAAACGTAGGAAATGCAGGAAATGCAGGAATATAGGGGTAAATTATATGACTTAAGGGATACTTATACGGAAATCCATTAAATCCAGAACCATATGCTGGCCTGGATAATGAGATTGGATAGGCTATACTCCCGTATTATTCTTTTGAGCCTTCTCTTTATTACAGTAAGCGTATCATATACTTATCCATACATGATCATTACGGGATGGGCCATGCCAAATTTTCCGTATATGCTCAAATATAGTATTAGAGCCTATTTTTTAATTAGTATAAAAATTAGTAGCTTTTAGAGGGTACTAACCAGGGTGTATTAATTTCTCATAGACAGTAGTAAGAATCTCAAAAGCGTCGTTATAGCAAACGGTATACCGGGCGGGAACAAGCTCTCTACATCGATTATCGTAGTATTCCTTGCGATACACCTGGCCGTCCTGAAGCTCATAGAGAAGGGAATCGTACTTGATATTAGCCTGGTAGCGTTTCTCTGCCTTGGTTCCGCTAGGAAGCGGAGCATTAGGATTTTGCAACCACCATCTGATATCCATACGTTTCCTAGCAGTAAGAATTTTCTTACTACCCCCCTTAGCAAGCCTCTGATCCCATGCAGCTTCGTCTTCAGCAGACCAATTATCAGTAGGCTCTTTAGTAATAGGGGAGGGTAAAAACTGGGTGCCGGAAGAACGAGCCCCTGGAGCAGTAATATCAAAATATTGCTCTGCTCTCCCATAAGTACGCTGACGAGGCGTACGTGGGGATGGGGATGAACGAAGGGTTGAAAGAGATATATTAGAAGTAAGGTAATTAATTGAGAGGTATATAAAATCAGTGGTTATGCTTGGAAAGTTGGTGCTTGTGCTGTGAACTGTGTCTAGGTAGTAAGGGAGCAGAGGCCCCATACATATTTGGGAGCTCTAGAGAAGTGTCTTTACTCCTATTATTACCTCCTTTAATATCTTAAATTAATAAATTAAACTATAACCTATAGAATCAAAATATGAGGTGTGGTGGAGTAAAGAATATAGGGCTGAATGAGCTAGTAAATAAGGGGAATTCAGCTCCTTCAGGCCCGATACCCAAATATCGAGCGATTGGGAATCGGGGGCCCGATTCGTAAAGAAGCTCCCATTCCCTAATCGTAGCGTCCGATTCCCTAATCGGGGGCCCCGATTGGGAAATCGCTCGTATTGGTATATGGGGGGTCACAGATCGGCTTCCCCGGCCGACAATAATTTCCTTGGGAATATCGCAGTGGACCACTCCAGCGGTTCATCCGCCGCCAATGCAATTCTGTCTACTTTACTTCAAGCGAAGCCATTCCCTGTACGTGGCCGTTAATGCCATTCAAGACGAGTTTTTGAATTTTCTTTATATAGTGGGGCTGCATCCCCACTCAGCATTGGCTTCCCAGAACTAGACATTTCTCGAGCTCAATAAGTTCCAGGCATTGTGTCATTAACTTTGCGTCTCAGTCCTGTCTCCCCTGAAACCATTGATCTGGAAAGACGACCCCACGGTTAGACTCACACGGATATATCTCAAATATCTAAAATCTGCCTTGGCAAGGACCAAGAAAACTGATTAGACGATGCTAGCGAATCATCTTGCACAAAGGTGTTCGAGACGTTGGGCACATATGCATAGCCTCAGCCTCACCGTGAGGTTGCAGTACAGCTGGAATCGCATATTTGTCATCACAAATAATGCTTTCTGGCAGATACTCTCTTCCATCAAGGCACGCGATCAATGAACGCACAATGGCAGAAGCAATTGGCTTTCTCGCAAGCGGTATTGCCCTGAGTCAACTTGCAGAGCAAATCGTTCGCAGCATCCGCAGCCTGCACGATTTGTGGCGCGACATTCGTGGTGGCCCCGCCAGCCTTGCAGCCACACTCGAAGAACTGGAAATCCTTGGGGATACCCTCTTGCAATTGCAAGGCGATATTGGGCGTCAAAATGAGCGCCGTCCTGGGGCAAAGAGTCTTGGGTACTGCCAGAAAACGGCAGAGGAGCTTGAAGAGATCACGAAGAAGCTGCAAAGGGGGTTGGAGGGGGGATTAGGGAGAGGAATGAGACAATGGGGTAAATTAAAAGTGGTTTTGGGGAAAAGAGAAATTTGGGAACTGCAGCAAAGGCTTGAGAGGGCGAAGTCGATGCTCAATTTGGCGGTTAATTGCTGTGCGTTGTATGTGAGGGTTTTCCCGACGTGGGCGAGAAGGAGAATGCGCACGGAGTTAACCCTTTTACAGGTCCTCAAATCACCGCCTAATGGCAATGCTCTTATCTAAAAGCCCAATCCTTGGTGAGCACGATGACGCTCTTCAGCCATCTAGAAGACCCGACCAAGCATCCCCGTCAACGAGGACTGTCACGCACAGGATAGACCACTTTACGGCCAGAACAGCACTCTATTGGCCTTTCCTCAGCTTTTACCTTTATCAGTACACAACTAAACGGTTTGCATCAAGCCGCCGGCCCTCCTCCACAATTGACCCCGACAACCAGTACGAGGACACCACTACCGTTACCGAATGCAGAATTCTGCCAGCATATTGGTTGCGATTGAAGGCATTTGCTTTCCAAAGCATGAACAGTAGGGGGGGCTGGAAATACACATTCAGATCGATCCGCGTGCTGCGGTATAGCCATCCGGTCTTCGATGCTATCTATTCGGGACAGGACGAGACTGTGAGGAGTTATGTCAAAGATGGTTTGGTTTCGATAAATGACACAGCACCCACTGGATGCACTCTACTTCACGTAAGTTTCCCTCATTGCGCCGCCTGCTTTTCTGTTTAAGCGGCTGGGGACTAATCCTTATTACTTCTAGTACGCAGCTTCCAATTCGAATGCGAATTTATGCAAATGGCTTATAGAGCAAGGCATTAATTCCAATGCTGTCGACATAAGTATGAGGTTAGTTTGACCTAACCCCGAGCTCGCGCTGCCTCCTTTCCCTTTAAACCTTTCCAAGACTAACACTAACGACTCCAAAAAAGGACGGCACTCCACAACGCAGGAGCTTCAGTCAGCTTACAAAATCGTCAGGGAGACCAACTCCGTGAAACAATAAGGGTGTTAGTTGAAGCGGGCAACATCGACCCCATGGCGATCAGCAAAGCAGGGCAAACCGCTCTGCATAACTTTATGGGCGCCGTGGAGCCGTATCAATATTTAATCCACTCGCAAGAGTATTTTGTTGTGGACCTCTCCCACGTGGATCGCCAGGGGCAGACTGCTCTCCAGAAGCTTGCGAGTTCACCTTTACCAGTGACTCCTACCTTGATCCGAGCCTCGACCCTTGAGTCGTTTCCAAGCCAGCTGGCGTTGCAGGAATGGCCCACAATCATGGGGCGAATGACGTTTCTTGTTGGCGCTGCGAGACGACTTGCGAGCGTCTTTCAACATACGTGCATCTCCAGAACGGAAATAAGGTTTGTTTCGGAGCTGATCAAAGCGGGTGCAGACCTCCATTTCGCTGATGAGTTTGGAGCGACGGCTCTGGATCGTTTGCTTGGTGATGGGCATTATCCTGCTTGGCCGTCCATCGAAATCAACAAGGAATGCTTGATACACGCTTGGCTTCTCTGCTTGTTCCAATGTGGCATTATTCTACATTCGTACTTCCGTGAGGAGGAAAGACTGCATCCGGGAGGTATGGTCGTGGAGCGGGACTGGCACCGGAGAGGCATCTATCGAACCTTCACAGTTTACTACGGGTTTTACAGCGATGACGTTACGATCCTCGTTGAGGATTTGCAACCTCTTTCTGACAGAAGTGAAGATATACCAGGAAGCTGGGACTCGGAGTTGGAATATGCTGATGCTCGCTGTATGTCGTTGGTCGAGGATTGCTATCCAACTGCTTTCTGGTCGGTTACTACTTCGGGCTTTCGACACGGGGATTACACGGCTGAGAGAGCAACGTGCAGTGAGGATCTCCCTGTAGGACAGCGTTGGAAAAATCGGCAGAATCGACTCTATAAGTAAGAGGAATAAATGAGCCGAAAGCTGGTCGGATGTTCAACGGGAATTTCAAAATACTATTGGAAGGGGTGAGAAGTTCGTTGCGGTGACATTTTCTCCCAGTCAAGAATCACGCCGCCATCATTTGTCAGCTTTCGCGTGAAAACGAGATCAAGAAAGCGAATGAAGGATCGCGATGTTGGTCAAGAGACTGCGACCAGCGTCTTTTCTTAAAAGTATAGGCGAAGGCGGGGAAAATGTAAAACGACACCCCCTCGGGTGTCGATTTGGGGCCACTAACCCAAAGCAGAGGCGCTTGGATAGGAGCACCAAAAATCTAGCTTTGTCTTTAATTTAAGTTAATTTTATAAGGAATTAATAGATTTTAATACCTGTTTAATTTTCTTATAGCGCTAATTTAGGATTATTAAAATATGACCATTTTACAAAATATAAATTAGTAATAGTTATTTAAATTAAAGAAGTTAAAAAGTAAATATTTTATAGCCTAAAAGTAAGCTTAAGTAAGCCTAGAAATTTAGCGAATAAGTCCCTAAAACCGGACATGAGAGCCCTATAAGTCCCTAATACATAGGGCCTTATAGGACCTAGGAACTAGAACTTAATTAATTAGCATACAAAGTCCTATAAATCAAAAATCTAATTTAAGAAATCGTTTTATTATAAGTTAAGAAGCACATGATTATATGATAAGCCTTATAAATACTAGCCCTATACTTATATTAAAGAATCTAACTTAAGGTCTCTAAATACCCTGGCCCCCATCAACGACACCCGAGGGGGTGTCGTTTTTCATATTCCCCACTCAAGGGGCAAACTAGACCTCGGCAGCTAGGAGCTCGCAGGAACAGGGGTCTGATTTGCCACACTGATCTCACGTACTATCCCCCCCCTTAAACAATTACGAGTGGGTCCAATATTCACCACACTCTCATGCCACAATTCACACCACTAAAGGCGCGCAGTCAAGGGTCTATAGCGAATAGGAGCGTTCGAAAGCACCTGATATTTCCTAATTCGGGGATATTAACGAAGTTTCAGTGTGGCGTTACTAAAGGACCCACTCATAATTATTTAGGGGGGGGGATAGTAAGAGAATTGCGGCTTGTTCAGGAACCTTGTTCACTTCCAGAAATAAACTTGGGGTAGTGCTTACAGGGTCCCATCTTGCCGGGAACGTTAAAGGAACTTCATTTCTCCTTCATCTCAAACTTTGCTTGTGCCGCTGGTCTGCAGCTACCTCCAGTCCTCCCGGACCCCGCGAGTCGGGACGGATATGGCGGGAATTGATTGCCAATATGAATGAGCCGAAACAGGTGACGATAAAAAGGAAGAGGGCGAGTGGGAAGCATTCGAGGAAGGGCTGTGGAACCTGCAAGTGAGCTATCCCGAATGAACCTCATCCCGCTAGAATCTCTTGCAAGGCGACTCACTCAATTTGAATGGTAGGCTAACGAAACTTTAGGATTCGAAGAGTGAAGTGTGATGAGACACGGCCAATCTGTAAGCGGTGTGTGAAATTCGGCATCAAATGCGACGGGTATCCTCCAAATGAACCCAGGCAACGGCAAGCAAGCCCTCCTAGGCGCCCCTCCAATTATTGGTCAGCGCCCCTGGACGCGGCAATCGCTCTCCTAGACCTCCCAAACACCTACTCCTTCGATAGTGAGGACGAATTTCAGTACTTCTCGTTGTTCCGCGACAAGACTATCTTCCAAATCATCCCATATTTCGACCAGACGCCTTTCCGCACCTTGATTCTGCAAGCTTGTGATATCTCTTCGATTCGGCATGCAGTCATTGCCATTGGTGCCCTCGACAAGACGTGTATGACTGTCAATGATCAACGAGCTCTGTGCTTCGACCGCCACACCGTAAACCCCACCTCCCATCATCAGAACGCCATCAAGGAGTATATCAAAGCCATTCGGATCATGAAAGATGAAGTTGCGAGCGGACAGCCATCACTGAGGACGACGCTTCTGACATGTTTGGTAATTGTATGCTTCGAGTATTTCCACGGAAACTATCGATTGGCAGATGCTCAAATTCACAACGGGATTGCTCTGATAGACAACTGGAGACGTTCATTTCCATACGCACATCAGCACCCACTTGGCTTCTCATCACCCGCTCCAGATATTGTCGAAGACCAACTGATCCAAGTGTTTGGCCAACTGGAAGTGCAATCCCTTTGTTTTGCCGGTGACCCACGAACCCCAGCCATGCACTGGAAGCTCCGGAACGAGGGAACAGCCATCATCCGCAACATGCCCGACTGCTTCGACAACATCTACGACGCCAAGATCTACCAAGCGCTGATCCTCCGACGACTCCAGCACTGGCAATTCTGCATCGGCGCAAACTACAGCCCGCCTATTTCCCGCGACGTGGACGAAGAGAAGGAAGTCTGGGGCGCCACATCGTGTGTCGACCACAGCCAACTCCGGCACCTCTCCCCGGAGAGCGGAAGCTCTGTCTCTGACCGCGCGGCACAGCACCGTTTCCACCTTGAGGAATTCTACCACTGGAAATACTGCTTCGATAACTTTCTTGAGAGAGAGCCGGCGCAGAAGAATACGTTGGCTACGGCGCTGCTGGAGCTATGTTTCATGACTACGAACTTGCATCTCAGTACTGCGTTGGCGGGTGATGCCACAATATATGACCAGTACACGAAGGAATTTGTCGAGATTGTGGAACATTGTGAAAAGACGCTTGTCCTGCTGCACAAAAAGGCTGACCAGAAAGTCGTTTTCACATTCGACAGTGGGACGATCTTGCCGCTCTACTTCACTGCCCTCAGTTGCCGTGTCCCGAAGATCAGGAGACGAGCAATCAGCGTCTTGCTCGCGTGGCCAAGAAGAGAGGGGGTGTCTGATAGTTTGTTCGCGGGGAAGTCGGCAGAATGGATTGTAGGTATTGAGGAGGAGAATATGGAGGATGGGTATGTGCCTGGATGGGCAAGAGTCAAGTACGTGGGTACGAGTTTCAGTCTGCTGAATCGGAGAGCGGAGTTGGTGTGTAACCAGCCGATTTTGACGCCGAATGGGAAGTCGACGCGGGAGAGGAGGCAGACGATTACTTGGTGAAAAGATGACAGATGTGGGGAGTCATTCGATATGGCGGGGTCCAGTTCAGATTCAAGATGCTGAAATACAGCGTATTTTGTTTTCGGGGAACTTGACTGAAACTCCGAATCTAAGCTGGTTTAAGAACTATGGGATGAGGTGCTCAAAAATATTACTGTAGCTACATGGACCTGGATGCAAGCAGATCAGCTTTGAGTGCATTGTAAATGGCGTGATACGTACACAGACGGAAGACACAGACGGAAGAAGTCCCACACCTCAAAACTTTAGAGACGATCATTGCAAAATTGGGAGCCAAGTTCACGCCAACTTCAACAAGTCTCGCATCACGTGAGACCCCGGTCAGTCCAGCAAAGCTGCTCCCGATAGCTATCTCCAAACCTCAACACTGTATGTCTTATGTGACTTCATACCGCGTATGCACTGGCTGCCGGTGTGAAAACTTGTATTGGAACTAGAGTGAATGAAGGGGGTCGGGAGGGAGAGAAGCACGTAGAGTTATTTTTAGCCATTGACTAGTCCGAGTATGGATAGCTCCGGTCCACAGAACTCTTCATCTCACTTGTCTAGAACCTCGAAATTTCTCATCCACAACATCGCATCTTGATCCAAACCGAACCTCTTTTCTGCCTTGCATGACCGACCATGGGCAGTTACGGCTGTCATATCACCTGTCTTTTCTTCGTTATTTGAACACAAAAGGATTGATTCCTCATCACTGGCGTCTGTAGCACGGATATTTCCCACTTTCCGTGAAGCTTCGCCTCAGCCTTCAGCCCGCCACAGAATCGTTTGACAACGGTTCTGACAGCAACATCCAATGCACCTCTTCAGTACTGTCACCCTCATGATGCGGCCCCTGGACATGCCCTTTCAGGCTGCCCCAAAATAATTTTATATCCCCAGCCCCTCAGCTGTTTGGAATCGCTGCCAGGTATAGAATTCTCACCAGCATCGTCAGTCACGGTGGAGGAGCATAAAGGGAGTACTTGAGAAGCATTAACTTTTCCTCATCATACCCACTATCCTTTGCTTTCCATTTCTTTTCCTTGGTCAGAGTTCAATCATGTTTTTCTCCTCGGCGACTCAAAGCTCCCCCGTGCATACTGCTATTTTCTGCATTGTTTCATTGTTTGTCCTCGACGCGTCTGCCAACTGCAATAACGAAAAGTGCCTCAAGGCGCTTCACTCCGATCTTGCTCAGGCATCTTCCTTCTGCAGCACATATGCAACGAATATGGCAATCTCAACTCCTTCCGCGATCAACTCGGGTTGCAAATCCTCGTCCTCGAAGATCCTCAGCGCTTGTTCTTGCATCAACGCGGCTACCACTGCATCGAAGACTTCCTCCACGAGCTTCACTACCGCGAAAAGTTCTTCGTCTAGTCGTACAACGAGCGTGTCTACCTCCACTCCCACTTCTCGATCAACCTCGGCCTCCAACCCAGCAATCCTAGCCTCCACTGTGACGGTCACAGTGGTCCAATCCATCATCCTTCCCGCAACCGCGACGGCAACAACCATACCCGCAAGCGTAACATGTATAGCCATTCCTTGCATACTTTACGAAAGCGCTATTCCCTCCTGTGTTCTCAGCTTCATTCAACAAGACTTCGGCATCTTCCAGCCGAACTGTTTTGGCGCCGGTTTCGGCCCGAACTTTGTCAAAAGCTGTGTTTGTCCGTTTCTCAGCCAACTGCCTGCTGCCTTTCAGTCTGCAGGAGTGTGTGCAGTGGCTGATATCACGACTGGATTGGCTTATCAGCGGTCTGAATGTCAGTGTCTGGGAGCGGTCATTGGGTAATGCTTCGAGATGGGCAAAGAGGGTATCAGTCGGAGTTGTGGAGCAGCTGGGATGGTGAAGGGGTTTGAAAATAGGAAGCACGCAAGACTTTGGCGTATGGTGATTTCAGCCTTATAGTTCTAATTGATTTCTTTGCATTCATCCAAGAGCCTGGCGTGTTGTCGAAGATTGCCACGTTGAAAGTGGCGATGCAACCAGTCCATCCTTCAATTGTTTCGTGGAGGGGCAAGTCGCTCTGCTTTCTGCAACCCAAATCTTCCCAGCAACTATGCTCTCCTCAGTCAAGGTCCTCCTCTCGTGGCCTCCTGGGTTGTGAGGGGGCTTCGTTCTGCCGAGGCTTTTGATCTCGCGGTGCTAGATTCAAAGTCAGCACACCATCCCTTTAACTTCTATCACTCACGTACCTTCATTCTTCCTCCTTCACTCCCGGCGCCGCTCCTATAATTACAATTTCCATTTCAATCATCTCTCTTCATGCTCCATCAACCAACCCACACCCTCTCCACCATCCTCACCCCCGTCATCGTCCTATTCGCCGTAGTATTCGCCGGCGTGAGCACAACACTTGCAGCCTTGAACTTTAGAATCCTGACTTGTAACCCCTCCCACAATACCGGCAATACAGGCACTGATAATGATGATAAGTGCGAACTTCAGTACTACGGCCCAGCTGCAGCCGTTTCGTGAGGCTGCCATTCGCTTTTGTGTTGCTTTGCTTCAGTTCACTTCGCTTCAATTGATTGAATAGAGGCTCCGGTTTGAGTCTCGATGTTCTGATATTTTCAAAGGAAAGGGAAGCAGGGGTGAGATATTTAATATAAAGATAGACCGATGGAGAATTTTCTTCTGTGGAACACCCGGTTGCAAGGCATGACATTCCGTCATGGACGGCAGAAGGCAGCGAATCCCACATGCCAGTTCGTAATAATGGGGATTTTCCATACAATTCAGCGAGTGAGGGATGAGTCTGTCCAGGGATGGCCGAAAAGAGGTTTAAAGGTGGAGATGGTGGCGTTCCTGCGGGTGAGTGAGGGTTGGAGACAGGCCATGTTTGGCATCAGGTGATGTTTGAACAGTTGTGAATTGGGTAGCCAGATCTAGATTGACCACTTTTAGATCTATTTTTATAATCACGCTGCTCGGTTTCTACATTCTTCCAATCAGTTACTGTAGTTAGGATCGAAGTAAGATTGAGGATTCGAAAAGAGGTTCTTGTTGCACCTGTCGCGTGCTCGTTGCAAGTAATATTCTCCTTATTTCTTCAACAAAATGTCAACCCTCCCCCTGCACCACTTCAATCAAATTTCACTCGACAGCTCATTCTTAACAAAAAAAATGGCTGCCTTGAAGGGGCCCAATCATCCAACCGCCAATGTTTCACGCGCTGCAAGAACTGGGATTGGGCGGCCACCGCTTCCAGGGACCCTCGCCTCTCAACGAGGCTGGGGGACAAAACACCAACTTGTGTACCTTCACACCAACATGCTAAGATTAAATTATTTGTTTCTCGTAGATATGAAAGGAAGTAGTTCCCAGCTGAAGTGTCTCACTTTGCTTGAATTCTTTACTCTGGATCTGTAATATTCAAAATGCACATTTCATTCTTCCAACTTTGTATACTTCTGGGAATTATATACACCGCCCCAATATCCGCACACCCAAAACTACCCTTCCCGCAAAACTTCCACCTCGCCATCTCCGCTTCTCACCAAAGCCAAAACCAACACCCTTTCCTCATCCTGCCTCCCACACCACCCCACCCAACACAACCATGCCACAACTCATCCCCCATCCACGGAATAATCCACATGCGCTCTCCCCTCCACCACCACGTCCCGCTCTCCTTCACCGTCAACACTTCCACCTGCGCACCGCGTCATCCAGCCTCGCAAAACATGCTCAAGAACCTCTCCTCCAAGATACTAACCGAGCATCCAGTTGGGATAACATTCTCCGACCCGTCTAAGCCGCTCCAACTATCTTCATCCACAAAACACAGGATCGCTTCCCAGCGGAAATTCACCGTTGCGCTTGGTTTGAGTCTGATAATAGTGCCAGAGGAAGGAGAAAAGGGGGAGGACCACCAAGATGTTGAAGGGATAGCGGCAGGTGAACTAGGATTCCTGTTCAGGTTGTTCGAGAGGGCGATAGAAGACTTGGATGTTGCGTTGCGAGATAGGGGGGCTGGGTTAGGGAGTGTGGTGTTAGAAGGAGGGGTAGAGGGTGTGGAGATGAGGTGCGAGTTCGGGATGAGTTGCGAGGACTAAATCGAGAGGACGGGAAGGGGATGTTGAGAGATATCCTGTTCCCTCATATCACAAAGATATCCCAATGTAGAAGAGAAAGAGTGATATGTACAAACCGATGGCCGGTGGAAATTGGGGGGTGATTAAGCGGCAGTCAGCTCCGCAACCCTCCTCTCTACCTCCGGCACACCCCTAAGTAGCACTTCCAATTCCTCCCTTTCATCCTCAAGCTTCAACCTCTTGTCCGCATCCAAACCCGTAAAAATATAATGTCCCTGCCCATCGAATTGCAATATCTTACTATGATACTTCCACAGACTCCTTCTATGACTTACCGTCATAAGCGTAATCCCCAACGCCTTCGCATGATCATACATAACTTTCTCCATCTCGAGCGTCACGCTGGATGTGCATTCATCGAGAATGGCGTATTTAGGGCGATTGTAGAAGAGCCGTGCCATTGCTACACGTTGTTGGAGACCACCGGATAGGACGTCTCGCCACTCGGCCTCTGCGTCCCAGCCTTCAGGGAAAGAGGAGACGAGGTGATCGAGATCCAGGATTTTGAGGATGGCGAGGAGATCGGTGTCTGTGATTCCCTTTGAGCGCATGATGCGTAGGGAATCAGGGTAGATAATTTGTTGGCGGAGAGAGCCGGAGGAGAGGTATGGTCGTTGCGGGACGTAGAAGACTTGTGAGAGAGAGGGCTTTCGAACGGTGCCGCCGTAGACGGGCCATAACCCACCCAGGATCCGGAAGAGGGAAGATTTGCCGCAGCCATTGGGGCCGACGACCAGGACGTGGTCGCCGCGTTTCATAGAGAAGGAGAGTGCTTTGACGAGGACACTGCCGCCGGGGGTGATGATGGGGCTGGGTATATTAGCTTAAGGTGGAATGTTCGGGGCAGTGACTTACACATTAATGAATTCTATGTCTTCGCTCTCGATCACGGTCCCCCGTCCTTTCATCAGATCCAATTGTTCGGCAGAGCTCTCGTCTGAGACAAGCGTCTTCTCGAAATGTCCAGCTTTGATATCATCCATGACTTCCAGCAGGGTAGCAACTCGAGAAGTGTAACCGGCCAGCTCAGTGACCTCCTTGTACGAGAACATAACCCGCCCAAAAGCATCTGAACTCGATAATAGCAGCCTTCGATTAGTTACAAAACTTTCTGTTCTGTCACCCATAGTTTGCGCAACTGCTCCCGGGATCTTGAAGAAGACCGGGACACTGCAAAGAATGAGTCCCAAAGCTCCCCAGACGTATTTTATGATGAAGTCTTCCATTATTCCATGTGTAAAGCGCCGCCGTAATATGTCTATAAAAGTCAGGAGAAGTAAAAACGGCCAGAGATAACTCCACTTACAATTGACGTGCTTGATCAATGTGAAGTATCCTTTATCCAACGTATCCTTTTCCGCTTCGTGTCCATTGTACAAAGCAATTTCTTCGCTATAGTCTATTAATCTTGAATGTTCAAACCGGAATTCGCCTTCTAATCGTGCTTCGTCTGCAACGTATTTCCCGAATGGAGGAGTCAACGCTCGCATAACGTTCGCTGATAATTGCACCAGTAGTGACATGAAGAAAAGGCCTAAAACAAATCAGTATGTGTCCTTACCAAGAGAGGTAATATTCTGACCTTCGCCACCAACGCTCTTGGAAAGAGAGTAGTTATAAATCAACATATCTAATGTAGGTTTCGCCAGATTCCCATATAATTCCGCTAGACTGTTCGCAAATTTCGATACGTCGACCGTGACCAACTGGTCCGCATTCTTTATCCGATCATCCAGCGCAGACAGGGAGTAGAAGGTCATGTTCGAGAGGTATTTATCGTGTATGTAATTCGTCAATCGTGTTCGGTATTGGAGAGAAAGTTGACATTGATGGTACGAAAGCTGCCAATCCACCGCATTAGCATACACCCCAGTCTCTAACCAAGATCTTCTTACCATTGAATTCGTAAAAGTCGCCGGCACTGCAATAGCCATCCACCAGACAATCCCGATCAAAAAGTCTCTCCCGCGCCCTCTGACCAAACTACTTACAAGCTGCCCATCCATCGCTGCAACCTTCAGACTAATTAGGGTCCTAATAACCAAGAACACGCTATGGCTGATCAACAGTCGCAACTCCTTGCTTCTCCAACCTGGTATGCATATCTTGAGCAACCTAAAGAGATTCTTGAAGAACTCCCGGTTGAGCTCAACCTTCGGCTTCTTCCCGCCATGACTGTGGGAGAGAGATGTAGACCCTCGTTGTCTGGCAGCTGCTTGCCGCAGTGCAGAGGCCTTTTGTTCGGAGATGGCGGAACGGATGCGGTTTAGGAGGGCGAAGAAGAGGGTCAGGTAGACGGTTCGGGAGATGGCGGTGCGGTGTGCGAGGTAGTGAGCTGTGAGGGAGTTGACAAGACTCTTCAGGGTTCGGTCTGGAGGGAGGAGACGCAGCTTCGACTGTGCTGCCATTGTTAGACTCGATGTCGAGGGTCGAGTCGGGGGGCGCGGGGAATGTTGGGAGCTTCAGGTCATGCTTCGGAGAGCTGCGTTGTGGGCCTCATCTGCGGGATTCCAAGGGAAGGGCCATGTCGTCGTGAAGACCTTGTGCTGAGTGAGTTTCAGGATGATTGACTCTTGGTGTAATGTTGTCGTTACGTTGTGCTGTGGTGGTGATGCGCGGAAAGTTGGTTGGTGCTGCTTGCCCTCGGCAAGCAGGGGTGTTCCCCAGAAAATGGGTATTCACATGTCACTCGCTGTGGGCTACGTTTTTCACATGAAGTACCACCAAAGCCAGACTCTAATCTCATTTTCGCTGGTTCCGTTTTAGTGAGTAGCAGCTGCTTTGACTTGAGCTGAGGCTAAAGATGCCCAAGCAGAGCCTGAGCCGAGAGTTCTGGCCTTCAGTGTGCCCTGGCTACAGTTTCCTTACCGAACTTTGCCTTGGAATTCGTTTCTACTCCCCCCGTAGGGTTTTCTGCCGAGCTAATTTTGGATCCCTCTTATTATAAACACGTGACAAGCAACTCAGCTCACAATTTACCGAACAGTAATTTCAGGTGTGGTGTTTGCCCTCCCGGGTTTAAGCTGGCTGCTTCGGGTAAGGTGCGTCTACGGGCTAGCCGCCGCTTTTACATAGCATAACGCTCCGTCCTCTAGCTGCTCGACTGCTCGCTCGGGCCTCTCTATTATACGCTGTCTATGCCTCTCACCTAGACCCACCCACGTATACTGCTATCGGCCTCGCTATAGCTGAGATACGCTCGAAGCCGAGAACCCTTAATCTCCTACTCTGGCCTCGAAGATAATTAGAAATATTGTTTTGGATTATAACTTTTTTAATAATCTAACTCTAATCCTTTAATCTTTATCCCATATTCGATTAGTAAGTATGGCCGCTTCTACTCAGGTACTAACCATACTCGGGTCACCCTCGGCTTAGCCAGATTACTTGAGCTACTGCCTAATAGTACCCAAGCAAGTATATATTATTACTAGCAGTTATTATTGCCTATTAATTACTACTATTCTAACCATATTAAAGTCAGTATAATATTTCTTATATTTAGTCCTATAAGGCTATTTGTCTATTAGTTCTACTACTATTTCTTTATATACTTTGCTCTAGGCCTTTCTATTTTCCTAATAGTAATTATTAACTAGTTAATTCTAATAGATCTAAGCCTTAACTTAGTGAAATTAGTATAAAATCCGTTTTCTATAATGTGAGGCGCACAATATAGCAGGGTGCTACGCAAGTAGTCAAGGTAAGGGGTGGAATATAGGGTAAAGTATGGAATAAAGCGTGGAAGTATAATTGATTCCAAGAACTGGTTCTTAGTAATAAACTAATTAATGCCAATTTCCCAAGCTCGCATACCTCTATATATAGAATCTAGTATTCCGCTGGATATACGGAAGCACTAGTCCCAATTAGGGAGTGCGATCCCACATAAGCACTAGCCTAATTAGGCTACCAAATCCAGCTGGACGCTCGCTATTAATATATGTATTATATTGCCTCCCTTTCTGGGCTCTTGTTCCCAAGAGCCTAAGCTCTCGTACGCCCTTCGTATGCCCTTCGTATCGCAGGCTCTATATGCCATAAGCTCTATATGCCTTTATAAGCTCCATATACTGTGGTACGGCAGGCCGTACTCTCCAAAAATCATATTGTTTTGGCGGTTTTGAGGTTTAGGTCACATGGCAAAGGCCGCAGCCTTTTACACGTGACTTGCGGAAATCACATAAGAAAGCTGGTTTTTCTGTAGTCCTAGAGAATAATCCTTTATGAGTATTTAATTAATTAAGCTTTTATATACTATATACTATTTATACTTTACTATTTATACTTTTGATTTATTATTTTACTATTAATTCACGTTTTGTGCTCTGGTATACTTTATATGGGTTTTTGTCTTATTATAGTTTCCCTTCCATATATTTTATAGTAAGTAATACAGGGAGAATAGAAACTTTGCAGTTAAGGTAATACTCTTATAAAGTTCTGAGGGATGTCTGCAAGGCGGATTATTAGCTTAATAAGTTAGGGGAGAAAAGGGCTATTATAATACCTTAAGCCTAAGGCCAAAATATTAAGGATATATAAGTATTAATTTTAGTATCTTATATTAATTTCCGATATATCTAGTAACTTGGATACGGGTTAGCTATAAGATATAGTTACTAGTATAGTATATAGGAGTAGTAGAAATAGAGGCTAACTATAGAAGGAAAAGAAGCAAAGGAAATAAAATAAGAAATATTATACTAAGATAATATAAATTAGATCTTAGTTAGAAATAGACTTTAGTATTTGGAAATAAAGTTATATTATTAATTTATATATTATTTTTAGTTATAATAAAGACCGGAATAGAAGTAGTATTAGTTTTAGTAGAAAAGCTTATTTCTAAATCCGGAAAAGATACCTAAAAGAGGAAATACTTTTAATTTTAAATAAAATAATAAATAGAAATTAGAAATAAAAATAAAAAAGAAATCGGAAATAAGAAATTATATAGATAATCTAGAGAAGCTTCTAGAGAAAGAAAAGAATACTAAGTAAAGAAAAGAAAGAGAATTTAGAAAAGTCAGAAAAATTAGTAAAATTGTATTTATTATTTTTATTATTACTTTTAATAGTATTATTAGATATATTTAATTTAGTAAAATTAAGAGAAAATACTATAGGTATTAAGTTAATGAAATAGAAAAGAAAGTATAAGTAATAGAAATAAAACTAGAAAAGCTATTATTTTATTATTACTAATACTAAAACTCGAATCTTAATTATATTTATTATTATTAACTAGTTTCTTTCTAATTCTAGTTCCTAAACTAAAAAATATATTTAAACAGGAAGTTAGTTCTTTAGGAACCTTATTAGTAAAAGCTTTAGATACGGAAATCCTATAATTAATTATAGAAAAAATTATTAAGATTAATATAATTAAGAATAAGTATATATTAATACCGGATTTAAATCTATTATTTATAGAAGCTTCTAAAATACTATAATTTCAGGAAAGTAATATTTCTATATTCTTGAAATAATATATAAATATATATAAGAATTATTATATTCCTAATAATATTAAAAAAGAAAGAATTATTTATTATATTTCTTTTATTTATAAGAATTAGATTAAGGCTATACTAGAATATTATACTAATAACCTAGAAAATTACTAAGAAATTAAGTTCTTTAAGGCCTTACTAAAGAAATTCCGAGAATATAACTAGAAAATATTTAAAATTAGCTATAACTTTCTTAATTAGATTATTATATAAGCCCAAAATAGAGAAATCTTATCCAAATCTTATATTAATATATTTAATAAAATATTAAAGAAATTACTAAAGAAAAAATAAATAAATAAAATTATTTAATACCGAGAATTTATAAAAGAGTTATTTATTCTAATAAGAGATTATATTTTTAAAAATACGAATTTCGAGTCTATAAACGTTTCTATTTATAAATATAGTAAGATATATAAGAAGATAATAATATCCTATTAATATAAAAAAAAGAAATATTATTTTAATATTACTAATAACCTAGATATATCTAGACTTAGATAAGAATACTTAGATATAATAGTTTATAATATAGTTCCTAAGCCAGAAAATAATTATTTTTTACTAGTTTTTCCTATTATATTTCCTAAAGCTATTATAAATATAAGTAAAAAGAAAACCTAGCTTATAGCTAATTATATAAAACCTACTAAAAGTAGTAAACCTAAAAGAAATAATATTAACTAGCTAGTAAAAAGCCTAGAAAAACTATCTATTATTATTATAATTCAAGAGAACCTATAAAAATAACTTAATATAGCTACTATTATAATTCGAGAGAATATCTATAGCCTATTTATATAATCTAGCTAATTATAATAAATACTATAGTATTAATAGTCTAGTAAATATAATTCGGGTCTTTAGAGAAAATATACTAGAAGTTATAATAAAGGTTATAAAGAATATTATAGTAGCTATAGTAATTAAGCTAGAATAGGTAAAGAGTCTAGATAACTATATTTTAAAAAAAGTTAGTCTTAAATATAATTAAAGAATACTATTTAAGTTAATATAGCCTATAATATAAATCTAGAACTAAGAAAACAAATTTATTATAGGTATTATAATAGAAATGAGAATAATAATATTAATCTAGAATATATTTATATTTCTTAATTCTATTACTTACTAATAGAAGAGCTTATAAATTATAAATATACTTATTAATTTAATAGAAAATAATATAAAGAACTATTTAAGCCTAAATAAGAAAGTGTTTTCTTTTTCTTTATTAATAAGTACTAGTAGTTTAACTAAATTATTTCCTAAGTCCGAGAAAAAGAATTTAATTATAATTTAAATACTTAACCTAAAAATATCTAGAGATTAATAAGAAATATCTAGTTTACTAGATAAGAAGAAAAAAAAGAAACTAGCTAACCGGGATCTATATATAGAAGCAAGTAAGTTATATCTAGGGAATCTAAATAACTGCTTTATCTTAGAGGAAATTATATTAAAATTACTAATATTTCAGGTTCTAGAATTAATAAATAGTATTAAGATTTGGCTATAAATAGCATTTCTATTAATACTATAATAGGTTTCTTATTAAAGAAAAAAAGAAAAGAAAAAGAAATAGCTAAAGAGGTTTTCTAAAAATAAGCTAGAATAAAAGAAAAGCTATTTTATATAAGAGGCCAGAAGAATACTATTTTAAGAAATAATAAATAAGGAAATAGCCCAGCTAAAAATATAAATATTAATATTTCCGGAAATAAATAGAATAAATTAGGAACCTAGTATACTCTTAACTATAATAAATATAAGATTTCTAAAGTTAATAATATTCTAATAAAACTACTAAAGAAAATAATTATTTTATTTCTAAAGATTTAGAAAAAAACGAAAATACTTATTAATATCTTAAAAATACTAGATCTAATTATTATATTTTAGAACTAATAAATTAAGGATAATACTTTCTATCTTATTATCTTATAAATAGGAAATACTATTATATTAAGTATAGTTAGA